ACTGCCCCCCCCCCCCCCCCTAGAGCCGCGTCGGCGCCGGCGCCGCCGCCGCCGGCGCGTGCGTCGCCGGCGCGAGCGCGGGCTCGATGCAGGAGACGATCGCGTCGACGAGGGACGGCGGGAGGCGCGACAGGCGGCTGCCCTTGTCGCTAGAGCCGATCCAGAGGAGGCGGCGCCGCGCGCGGAAGCGGCGCTCGCGCTCGTCGAGGAGGCCGAGCTTGCGGAGCGCCGCGCGCTCGCCGCGCTCGCGCCGGAGGAGCGCGACGCCGCCCTCGAGCCGAAGCTTGGCCCGGAGCGCGAGGAAGGACGCCTGGGCCTGGAGGAGCGTGTTGAGGAGCGTCGCGTCGCAGTCGGGCTCGATCTCGCGGCCGCGGTTGCCGCTCGCGAGGCACTCGTGGAGCGCGCGGCGCCGCTTCCGGTCCGCGGAGAAGCGGCTCGCCGCCGCGTGGACGCGGGTCCGCGCGACGGCGCACTGGCGCGCGAGCGCGACGCGCTGGCCGTAGGGCCGGACCTCGACCGTCGACGCCTTGACGAGGAAGCTCGTCTCGCCCGTGCGCCGCGGCCGCGCGGCGCCGCGGGGCCGGCCGTGGCTCGGCGTCGCGGACTCGCGGAGCGCGCCGTCGCGCGCCAGGAGCGCCCCAAAGTCGCCGACGTTCGAGTAGTACGCGATCCAGAGCTTGTCGAGGGGCAGCGGCACGCGCGACGCCAGGGCCAGGCACTCGCAGGGCTCGTCGACGTACGTGTTCGCGACGACCCAGCGCTCCAACGACCCGCCCTCGCCGACCTCGAGCGTGCCCCCCGCGACGCAGCGCAGGTCGTCGTGGAGCGCGACGAAGTCGTGGTCGTAGCGCGCCAACAAGTCCGCGCCGCCGAGGCCCACGAGCGCGTACCAGGCCGCGTGCTCCCGCGTCTCCTCGCCCCCCAGCGCCCCTAGACGCTCGAAGCGCTCGCCGACGCCGACGCGGATCGCGCTCTCGCCCGGCGCGTGCGCGAACGCGTACGTGCCCGGCGGCAGCTCGAAGGACGCGTCCGCGCGCGCGAGCTCCCAGGCCGAGTCGCCGACCTCGAAGCGGCGCTCGAAGGACGCCGCGGGGATCAAAGGGTAGCCGTGGAGCGCGTGGCGCGGCGGCCCGGGCCCCGGCCCGACGAGCTCGCAGACGAGGAGCACCGTGCCCTCGCCGGGCCCCAACACGACGCCCCGGAGCCGCCCCGGGTCCCGCGGCGGCGGCACGGCGGCGAGGAGGCGCGCCGTCGCCTCGGCCTCGTCGCGCGTGTCGCCGCTGCACGCGGACACGGACGCGCACGTCTCCGACGGCAGCGGGTGCGTCCGCGCCCGCAGCAGGTCCCCCAGCGCGAGCGCGGCGTCGCTCGTCCGCGGCGCGGGCCGGTCCTCGCGCGCCGCGCACCGCCCGACCGCGCGCGGCTCGCGGACCTCGGCCGCGAAGGCGACGGACGACTCGCGCGACGCGGTCGTCGACGGCGGCGGCGCGCCCGCGGCCGTCGCGTCCGACGACGCGTCCTCGGAGCGCGCGGACGGCACGGGCGTCGCCACGGGCACGCAGAGGGCGCGCGCCGGCGGCGTCGGCGAAACGCCGCCGGCCGGCGCCTCGGGCGCCGCGACCTCCGGGGGCTCCTCGGCGACGTCCTCGAGCACGGCCGACGCGGGTGCCGACGGCGTCGTCGCCTCGCCGCAGCAGCGCTGGAGCTGGCACTGGGACGTCGGCGCCGCCAGGGACAGCAGGTTGCCGTCGATGGGCGTGCCGATGAACGTCGCCGCGTGGTCGCCCGAGACGCCCCGGACGTTCTGCATGACCAGGGCCACGAAGCCCCGGTTCGACGCGCGCAGGCTCAGCGCGAAGGGCCGCGGCATGCCGCCCTTCTTGATGCGCTCGACCTCGCTCCGCGCCCGGTGCAGGTCGCCGTCGTGCTTGAAGGGCACGTCCCTCAGGTGCTCGGGCCGCTCGGCCAGACCCGTGACCTCGCGCGCGCCGTCGCTCCAGAGCGCGATGGACAGGTCCGGCCGCACGCCGACCACAAAAAGCGCCATGCGCTCCAGGGACACGCAGCGCGCGAGCTCGCGCTGGAGCGCGAAGCGCTCCGTGACGTCGCGGACGCAGACGACCCACTCCGTCGTCCGCCGCCGGCTCGGGAGCCGCCGCTTCGTCGCCTTGAGCTCGATGGTCCGCCCCGCCATCTCCACGGCGAAGGTCACGACCTTGACCTTGCAGCCCAAAATGGCCTCGAGGGCCGTGCCGCCGGCGCGGCCGTCGCCGTCGAGGGGCGTCTCGCCCAGGAGCGCCGCGGCCTCGCCCCCGGGGATGATGGACCCGACGGCGTTGTTGCAGACCTGGACGCGCGTCTCGCCCGACGACGCGTCGCGCGTCACCACAATGACGCCGTCGGCGATCTGGTTCACGATGGCGTCGTGGTCCCCCAGGAGGCGCGCCCACTGGCGCTCGTCGGAGTTCGTCTTCCAGACGAGCGCGAGCGCGAGGAGCGTGAGCGTGCAGATCGTGCCCGCGGAGACGAGGAGCGCGACGAAGGCGCTCCGCTTCTTGCCGCCGTGCTGGTACTCCTCGCAGGTCACCCGGTAGGGCCCGCCGCCGCCGCCCGCCTGGGACCGGTCGCCGCGCTCGAAGGGGTGGCCGCGGTCGACGACGGTCTTGGCTAAACGGCGGCCGCTGCCCGTGCGCCGCCGGTCGACGACGGTCGTGATGCCCCGGTTGTCGAAGGTGATGCGCTGGTGTTTCGAGGTGAGGGACTGCAGGAGCGAGTCGGGCCCGTAGTGCATGAGGACGCCGATGGCGATGGACTTCTCTAGGAGCTCGCCGGGGCCGCTCATCGGCGGGAGCGCCTCGCCGGGCCGCGTCGGGATGTCGCTCAGCCGCCACGCGCCGTTCTCCTCGATGACGAGGAAGAAGGACCAGTAGATGGAGCCGTGCTTCTCCACGTAGAAGTCGCGCCTCATCAACGTCTCCAGCGCGTAGCGCCGCGACCCGAGGTACGCCGCGACGTCGACGCCGTAGACCCACGCCGCGCCCTCGGGCATGGGCTCGCGCGTCGCGCCGTTGTACCACCAGGAGTGGGCGATGGGCGCCCGCGCCGGGAACAACGTGTCGGGCGAGTCCGGCGGGTAGGGGTGGTCGTAGGACGCGTAGACGACGTCCTTGAACGGTGACCCGTCGAAGCGCCACGTCGAGATGTTCCAGATCCGCTCCCAGCTCCGCGTCTCGTCGTCGTGGATGATCGGCGCCAGGCTCAGGTGGAGCTGGATGTCGCGCAGCGCGTCGGCGACGCCCGCGGAGTCGAGGTCCTGGAAGACGGACACGCCCGGCGCCATCGCCGCGTCGCGCTCGACGGTCCGCCGCATCTGCGACGCGTTCCGCGGGAACACGAAGTCGCGCCAGGCGGCGTCGTCGCGCCGGTAGGCCCCGACCCAGCCCTGGAGGAAGAGTCTAGCGGCCTGGTGCGCCGTGCCCTCCGTCGTCATCACCGAAGTCGCGACGGCCTCGCAGCTCGTCGCCTGGCGCCGCTCCTCGGACCGCCGCTGCGACTCGGGGAGGAACTTGAGCTCGTAGAGCCCGATGCCCACGAGCACGAGGCCCATGGTGCAGGCGATGGCCAGGGGCTTCCGGTAGTAGCGCAGCGCCGCGCCGCGATGCGTCGGGCGCAGCTCGACGCTCACGTCGTCGTTGCTGAGCTGGCGGTGGAGCCCGCGGCCCCGGCCCTCGTCGACACCCGGGGCCTCCTCGGCGCGCACCTTCTCGGGCGCCCCGACCCCGACCTTCTCGCCCGCCCCCGCCGGGGCGGGCTGGTGGAACAACGGCAGGCTCGGGAGACGCAGCATCATGCTTTGCCGCGCCCGAGGGAGAAAGGTTCAAGTTTACCGCGGCCGAAGCTTATCCTACATGTAGCTTAAGCTTCCCGCTCGGCCTCCGCCGCGACCGCCGCCGCCGCGCGCAAGGCGAATTCGGGTCCCGCGCCGCGCTCCTCCACCGCCGCGCGCGGTGTGACGCGGCGGACATGCCGATCGCGCGCTTCAAGGTCGTCCTCCTCGGCGAGGGCCGCGTCGGCAAAACCTCCATCCTCCTCCGCTACGTCAAGGGCGAGCGCGTGCCGGCGTCCGACGACCCCCCAACATCTCCTCGACGAGACGCTCCGCATCGCAGGTATTCGGACCGGCAGGTGTCCACGCTGCAGGCGTCGTACCTCGACAAGCGCCTGAGCCTCCGCGCGGGGCAGAGCGCGTCGCTTTCCATCTGGGACACCGCGGGCCAGGAGCGCTTCCACGCGCTGGGCCCCATCTACTACCGCGACGCCGACGGCGCGCTCCTCGTCTACGACATCACGGACTTTGAATCCTTCCAGAAGGTGCGCAAGTGGGTCCGGGAGCTGCGGCAGATCGTCGGCCAGGAGATCGCGATCACCATCGCGGGCAACAAGGTCGACCTCGAGAGCTCCCGCGCCGTGCCCGAGGCCGAGGCGCTGGACTACGCCGCGTCCGTCGGCGCGACCCACGTCTACACGTCCGCGAAGCTCAACAAGGGCCTCGAAGACGCCTTCGCCGAGCTCTCGGAGCGCATGGCGACGCGACGGAACGAGACCCGCGGGCCCGGCGCCGCGGGGCTCCCGGGCGCGAAGCGGTCCTCCATCTCCATCGTCGACGACCCCGTCGCGCCCAAGAAGAAGGACTCGTGCTGCTAGAGGGCTGAGCAGCGGCCGTAAAAGTCGGAAGAGCGGGCAACATGCAATTCGGAGATGCAGCTTGAAGAGGTGTTGAGTCTGAGCCCGTCGGCAGCCACACACAGCGTCGACGTCCCGGTGTCCAGCGTCGACGTCCCGGTGTCCAGCCGCTCCACGATGCTCACCACCATTCGCGCAACTGCGCGCCGCTCCATCACGACCTATGCGTCCCAGTTCGGCGCCGTCGACGTGCCCAACGCGTCGTTCACGCAGTTCGTCGCCGACAAGGTCGCGGCCCACGATCCGGCCAAGGCCATGCTCACCTGCGGCCTCAGCGGCAAGACGCTGACCTTCGGCGAGTTCGCGCCGCGCGTCGCGGCGGCGGCGGCGAAGCTCGAGGTCGCGCCGCGCGACGGGCCCTTCGGGGCCGGGAGCAAGCTGCTCATCCACGCGCCGAACTGCGTCGAGTTCCCCGTCGCGTTCCACGCGGCGCTCGCGCTCGGCGGCGTCGTGTCGACGTCGAACCCGCTCTACACGGCGCGCGAGCTCGCGCACCAGGTCAAGGACGCCGACGCGAGCCACGTGCTCACCGTCGGGCCCTTCGAGTCCGTCGTGACGGAGGCCGTCGCGCTCGCGGGCGGCAAGGCGACCGTCGGCGTGCTCGGCGACGGCGACTTCGTCGACTTCGCCGGCTTCGACGCGGCCGCGGCGCCGGCGCCGGACTTCTCCCTCGACGGCGCGGCGCGCACCGCCGTCGGCGGCGCCGCGGTGCCGTCGTCCGAGCCCTTCGACGCCGCGAAGACGCTCGCGGCGCTCCCCTACTCGTCGGGCACGACGGGCCTCGCCAAGGGCGTCATGCTCACGCACGGCAACATCGTCGCGAACCTCATCCAGACCGTGGCCATGGTCGAGCGCGCGCGGCCCGACCTCTGCACGAAGGACGACACGCTCCTCGGGTTATTACCGATGTTCCACATCTACGGCATGATCACGATCCTCCACTTCTCCATGATCTACGGCACGACGCTCGTCACGCTGCCGAACTTCGAGCCCGAGTCCTTCCTCAAGACCATCGCCCAGCACCAAGTGTCCGTCGCGCACCTCGTGCCGCCCCTCATCCTCTTCCTCGCGAAGCACCCGGCCGTGAAACCGGAGATGATCGACTCGCTGCGCTGCATCATGTCCGGCGCGGCGCCCCTCGACGAGCACACGCAGAAGGAGGCCGCGGAGCGCATCGGCGCGTCCGTGCTCCAGGGCTACGGCATGACGGAGACGAGCCCCGTGCTCACGATGGACGACGGCGACCACTTCGGCTCCGCGGGCAAGCTCATCCCGTCGACGGAGGCTGCTTTGATGGTGCCCGACGGCGAGTCCTACCGCGACGCCGCACTCGGCGAGGAGGGCGAGCTCTGGTGCCGCGGGCCCCAGGTCATGCCGGGCTACCTCAACCGGCCCGACGCGAACGCCGAGACGCTCACGGACGACGGCTTCGTGAAGACGGGCGACGTCGCGAAGATCGACGCCGACGGGAACCTCTTCATCGTCGACCGCGTCAAGGAGCTCATCAAGGTCAAGGGCCTCCAGGTCGCGCCCGCGGAGCTCGAGGGCTTGCTGCTCCTCCACCCGGCAGTCGCGGACGCGGCGGTCGTCGGCGAGCCCGACGACCGCGCGGGCGAGAAGCCCCACGCCTTCGTCGTCCTCAAGCTCGACGCGGACGCGTCCGCCATCGACCTGACGAACTTCGTCGCGGAGAAGGTCGCCGTCTACAAGCAGATCCAGGCCGTCACCTTCGTCGACGAGATCCCCAAGTCCGCGAGCGGCAAGATCCTCCGACGAGTCCTCAAGGAGCGCTTCGAGTGACCGTGGACGCTCGGCCGCCGGTCGTAACTCCCGCGTGGTGGTATCTAGGCGCTTATGCGGGGGAGGGGGGGGCGCGGCGCGCGCGGGGGTGCTTGGTCCCCGGGCCTAGGTCCGCGCGTCGACCGCGCGCTCGCGCGCCTTGACGAGCTTCGTCGCGAAGGCCGCGACGGCCTCGAGGATCACGGGGATGGGCAGGTCCTTCTCGTCGACGTAGTCGCGGAGGAGGCCCTGCTCGTCGCGGAGCCGCGCGACGGCGGCCTTGGCCTTCGCGAGCGCGGCGTCCGCCGGCGCCGTCGCGGCCTCCATGCGCCGCGCGAACGCGGCCACGGCGAGGTCGTCGGCGTCGGAGCCGCCGCGGGGCCCGAGGCGCTCGTCGGCCTCGCAGGCGCCGGCGAAGTGCTTGAGCTCGCGGAGCGTCTTCTCCGCCGCGCGGACGACGTCGAACGTCTTCTCGGGCTGCGCGAGCGCCTGGGCGGAAACCAAATATTCGACCCGACTTCAATGTGCCCGTACTCGACCGTTTCGACGCGGGCGCTTCGACCGTGCTTCGAGAACTTCATGAGAGCAATCGATTCGTCCAAACATCAGCCGAATCGACTTCGATGTGACCGAGCTCGAGAATTTTGAAGTTTGGTCGGGACGTCCCGAACCGGCGGTTGATTTCCGCCCCGGCTCGCGCCGCGCCCTCCGTGAGCACGGGCACGATGGCGCGCAGCGCCGCGTCGATGGCCGCCGCGTCGAGCGCCCCGTCGGCGCCGCGCTCCGACGCGTCGCCCTCGAGGACGACGGCGAGGAGGTCGAAGGGCGTGCGGCCGCCCGCGCCCCTGGTGTGGTCGAGGCGCTCCAACTGCACGAGCGACACCGCGGCGGCGTTGCCCCGGCGCGTGCCCCGGTTCAGGCGGTTCCCGAGGGCCAGGGCGCTGTGGAGCGACGCGCGGAGCTGCTTGTCCTCGCGGAGCGCCGCGCACGCGTCCGCGCACGTCGCCGCGGCCGCGGCGGCCGCGGCGAGCTCGCCGGGCGCGTCCGCGCAGGTCGCGGCGGCGCCGAGGTAGCGCTCGACGTTGGCCCGGCCCCAGGCGTGGACGGCGAGGGCGAAGGCCGAGGGCCTCGAGAGCTTCGGCGGCTTCGAGCCGTCGCGCGCGGCCGCCGCGGCCGCGGCCCAGGCCTTCGCGCACGCGTCCTCGCTCGGCAGCGCGACGACGAGGGCGCGCACGCCGTCGGCGGTGACGCGGTCGCCGTCGACGCCCACGGCCACGAGGCTCCGCAGGAGCGCCGCCTCGTCGTCGGCGCCCGACGGCGGCCAGGGTTTCGCGCCGCGGACGCCGGCGAGCGCGATGGACACGTTCAACGCCTCCTGGTGGTCCAGCGCCTCGACGGTTTTCTGGGCGTCGGGCGTCTTCGCGGGCGTCGCGCCGCCCTTCTTGGGCGCCTTGGCCGGCGTCGTCGTGAACATCTCCTCGAGGAGCTTGGAGGCCGTCTCGTTCTCCGTAAACAGAAGCTCCGCGCGGCAGCCGAGCGACTCGCGGTTCCTCCGGCCGCTCGTGCGGCCCCAGAGGCTCCCCTGGCGGCTCTTGGCCGTCGGCGACGTCACGCTCTCCCAGTGGACGCCCTTGGTCGTCGACGCGGGCGCGTCGCGGACCTCGGCGCGCGCGGGCGCCGCGACGCCGAGCGCCTTGGCGACGGCCGCGAGCGTCGCGGCGCTCATCTTCTCGTGGCTCGCCTTGTGCATGACGGCCTCGGGGTCGACGCCGTTCTTCCGCATCCGCCGGTAGTACTCGACGCGCGACGCGTCGACGTCCGGGTCGGCCTCCGCGGCCGCGGCCGCGGCCGGCGGCGGCGGCGGCGGCGGCGGCGCGTTTCCCGCGGCCGCGAAGCGGCGCTCGAGCTCCGCGAGGTGGGCCGCGTCCACACCGTCCGTGCGCGCCTTGATCATCGCGCCGCCCGCGGGGCAGCCCATGCGCACCATCTTCTCGTACTGGGCGAGCTTCTCCTCGTCGAAGCCGGTGTCGGCCTTGGGCGCGGCCGCGCGGCGCCGCACCTGGACCTTGAACGGGTACTCGCCCCGCTCGACGGCCTCGGCGAGCATGTCGTAGACGTCGTCCTGCGTGAAGAGGCCCTCGCCGCCGGCCTCGACGTCCGCCTCGTGTTCGAAGAAGCTCTCGCCGGCGACGCCGACGATCTCGTCGCCGACTTTCAGGGACGCAAAGTGCTCGCCGGTCTCCGTCGTCCCCGTGATGACCGCGCGGTTCGACGACCCCGCCAGGTCGTCGAACATGAGGCCCAGGGGCCCGCGGACGAACTCGACCTCGACGCGCTCGTAGGGCCGCGCCGGCGGCGCCGGCGGCGCCGCGCGCGCGGCGAACAAGGCCGCGACGCCGCCCGCCGCGGGCGGTGCGGCCGCCGCCGCGCGCGCGGCGAACAACGCCGCGACGCCGCCGGCCGCGGGCGCCGCGGGCTTCGGCGCCGCGCGCGCCGCGAACAACGCCGCGACCGCGGACGGGCCCTCCGGCGCCGCGGGCTTCGGCGCCGCGCGCGCCGCGAAGAGCGCCGCGACCGCCGACGGGCCCTCGGGCGCCGGGCCGGGCTTCGCGGCCGCCGCCGGCGCCGGCGCGTTGACGGCGCGCGACGCCGCGGGCGCGAGAGGGCTCCGCGCCGCCTTGGGCGCGACGTCGCTCGCGCGGCGGAGCGGCTTCGCCGCCGCGGGCGCCGCGGGCGCGTCGCAGAACGCCGCCGTGCGCCGGCGCCGCGCCTTGCGCTTCCGCGCCTCGGCGCTCACGGCCTCCTGGGCCTCGGCGACGGCCCGGATCCAGCGGCCGTGCTCGAACTTGGTCTCCGCCGCGAGCGTGAGCTTCGTCTCCTGCTCCTCGGCGTCCAGGAGCGCGAAGGCGACGCGGCCTTTCGGCGCCGCGGAGAACGGCGCGAGCACGACGGACTCGTAGAGGTAGCGCTTCGTCTCGTCCTTCTTCTGCGGGTTCCGCACGACGATCTCCGACGGCGTCAGCATCACGTGGCGCTTCTGCCAGACGACGATGCCGAAGGGCCTCTGGATGCGCTTCTCCAGGTAGCCCTCCATGGCGATGGACGGCGGCATTTTGGCTCTTGTGGCGGCGGGGGCGGCGCGACGGGGTGGTGCTGGACGTTACGGCGCGAAAGACGTTAACGGCGAGTTCCGGCGCGTCCGAACTTGTCGGGCGGTGTCCCAGACGTTAGGGCGTCAAGCGAGACTAACGTCGGTACCGAGGACGTCAAGGGCGTCGGTAACGAGCTCGGCGCGCGTGCGACGGCGCCGATGGCGAAATCTCAACGAATGCCGCGCCGCAGCCGGGCGACGACGAGGACCTCCTCGAGAGAGAGAGCCGGCGGGCAACGAGCGCGAACGAGCGGAAATCACGCCTCCAGGCCTGCCTCCGTACGCGGCCCACTTCTCCCCGCCGTCCACTCAGATCGGCTTCGCGCCGCCGCTCCGCCCCGTGAGGGGCGCGAGCTCGGCGAGCGCGCGGCCGGCGGCGGCCTGGGCGGCGGCGTCGGGCGCGCCGCCGGAAGCCTGGAGCCGGAGGAGCGGCGCGACGGCGCCCGCGTCCTTGGCCGCGTCCCGGCGCGCGTCGCTGCCCCGGGCCACCGCCGCGAGGCAGCCCGCGGCGTGCTCGAGGACGTCGGCGTCGTCGTGGCCCAGGAGGCGCACGAGGGCCGGGATCGTCGGCGCGAGCGCCGCGCGGGCGGCCTCGGCGTCCGCGGCGGTCCGCGTCGGCGAGCCCTCGGCGAGGGCGCGGGCGGCGGCGACGGCGCCGCGGGCGCGCGCCGGGTCCGCGAGGAGCGGCGCGAGGAGCGCGGCCGCGTTCTCGGGCGCGGGCGCGTCGAGGTCCGCGAGCGCGCGGGCCGCGTCGCGCGTGCCGGCGGACGCGAGGGAGTTCGCCGCGACGTGGCTCGCGAGGGAGCTCAGGGACGATTCGGCCTCGTCGGGCTTGGACGGCGTCAGCGTCACGCGCGCGCGCTTCGCGGGCGGCGCCGCGCCGTCGCCGCGCTCGCCGCGCTCCATCGCGCCGTCGAGGGCCCGCCAGAGCGCGAGCGACCCGCCGAGCGTCGCCGCCTCGGACGCCGCGGGCCGGCCCGGCGGCGTCGACCGGGCGTCGGGGCTCGGGCGGCGGCCCGTGGGCGTCGACGCCGCGGACGACAGCGACGACACGGGCTGGTCGTCGCCGTCGCCGGCCGGCTCCGGCAGGGCCTCCGCCTCGCCCGCCGCGCGCGCGTCGGCGCGCGTGCGCCGGCGAGGCGGCGCGCGCGTCGTCTTAGGGTCCATGAGAGCGGAATGCGTCGATGCGATTGCGTTCCTAAACGACTAGGCTCATAAGCCTTCCGGGGCAGCATCGCGGCACCGTGGCGTCATTAATGACGGCGCCGTCAACATCAACATCGTTAAACAACCGATCCTCTCCGCGTTTGCTGCGAGAATGGCAGCCCCAGGACCAGCTCCGGTCGTCGAGGCAGCTCCGGCGAAGGCGCCCATGCCGCCCACGATGGACGCGTCCGTGTTCCACCCGCTCTTCCGGCGGCTGCTCGACGACGTCCCCGGCGCCCACCTCGGCCTCGTGTTCCGGCCAGCGGACGTCGAGGCGCTCGCGGTGTTGCTCTCGACGCTGAGCGTCGCCGTCCACGAGCTCTGGAGCCGGTCCATGCTCTGGAGCGACGTCGACGACATGGAGCTGTCGCCGGAGCTCCAGGAGCTGCTGCCGCCGGGCGGCGGGGGCGACAACATGAGGAACGGGCTGCCGTCGGCCTTCGGCGCCGTCGTGCTCTCGTTCGTCTTCCCGACGCGGGGCTTCGAGGACGACCAGAACCAGGTCGTCGACTTCAAGCGCCAGCGCATGGGCATGCGCTGCGAGGGCCCCGTCGTGGACCACCCGTTGATGGGCGCGGTCTACGGCATGAGCATGTTCTACTGCCTCGTCATGCAGCTCACCGAGGAGCGCGTCGAGGACCCGCAGGGCCTCGACTGGATGGTCAAGCACCTCGGCAAGAAGATGGTCGCCTTCCTGCCCGACGACCTCGTCGCGCGCGCGGGCCTCGAGACCTGGCTCCGCGACTACTGCGACGCCATGGCCGGCGCGATCGTCCGCGGCTTCGCGGACGTCGACGAGCGGGCCAAGGCCGTGGGCGCGGACGAGGTCGCGGCGTACTTCGATGACACAGGTATGCGTGCACAAGCCTTGGGTTTCGCTGGGGACGACCGACACACGGCCGACGGCGCAGGGATAGCATGGCGCGACCGCTACTATCCCGAGAACATCTCCGGGAAGGATTGGGACGACATGCCCTGGAGCAAGCCGCGGGGCAACGACGGGGACGAAGCCGCGGGCGAGGACGGTTCGCGCAAACCCGCGGACGACTCCTCCGACCCCGATGTGAGCGACGACGAGCAGGCCAAAATGAAAATAATGGGCAAAATGGGACCGTCGCTGTGGCGGAACTTCGACGGCCTCCGCCTCAACGTGGAGGGAGCAGAAGAGTTAGACCCCTGGGAGCAGAGAGTTAGGTCGAGAGGAAACCGCAGGACGTCAAAACCTGACGCGCGGACCATGCTCCTGCGGCAGCGCATGTACGAAAAGTGCTACGGCGACTACGCGCAGGACATCATCGGCGACAACTTCCAACCGCGCCAGTACCAGGGGTACAAGTCCATGTCGATCCACGTCATGCGCGCGCTCAAGGACTTTGGGGCGACGACGTGCTGGGTCAAGCCCTTCCTCGACCCCCTCGCGTCGCCCTGGGCCGGACCGAGCCGCCCCCTGCGCATCACGCTCGTCGGCTGCGCGATCCACGACGCCGGCGCGGCCTGCGTCGCGTCCGCGCTCCGGTCGCCGGGCTGCGCGATCGTCGAGCTCGACCTCGCGCTCAACTTCATCGGCTCCCGGGGCATCGCGGCCCTCGGGGACGCCCTCGCGCACAACGCGGCGCTCGCGCGCCTGAGCCTCGAGGGCAACGCCATGGGCAACGCGGACCTCGAGACGTTCCTGGAGAAGGTCAAGGCGCAGCAGGCGCGCGTGGCGGATCAGGGGCCCGAGGCCGGCCTCCAGGAGCTCTGCGTCGCGTCGCTCCTGTCGGAGAACGACGAGGACGATGCGCTGCTCCAGCGGCTCGAGGCGATCCGCGTGCGGCTCCTCGCCGGCGGCGCCGACGAGGCGGACGTGGACCGACCCGACGACCAGCACCCCTGGGCCCCCTACCGGGCCATGGACGCGGACCGGTCGCGGCGCGTGGCGGCAACGATGGACTCCTTGACGCGGATCGACCGCCTCCTCGACGCGCCGACGCCGTGGGCCGACGACGGCGCGAAGACGCCCGGGACGGACGTCGAGGACGTCGCGGCGGCGATCGAGCGCCGCGACGCCATGGCCGCCGCCGGGGACCCGAGGGCCATCGCCGCCAAGGCCGCGGACACGCTCGTCGCCGACGAAGCGGAGCGCGCCGCGGTCCCGGCCGAGCTCGCGCGGCTCGGCGACGACATCGCGCGGCTCGCGCGCGAGCGGGTCGTGCTCGACCAGATCCCCCCGGTCGCCGGCGAGCTCGGCGGCTTCCGGCTCTACGCCTGGCCCCAGTCCGTGCGGAAGCCGCCGGCCGTGACCGCGTTCGCCGAGGGGGGGCGCGGCTACGAGCTCGCGCAGGTGGACCTCGGCGCCGTCGCGGCCTACTACGAGCGGCTCATGGAGGCCGCGGGCACGAACAAGACGCTCAAGCTCCTCCTCGTCGGCCTCGGCACGGCGGGGAAGACGTCCTTCGCGAACCGGCTCCGCGACGTCAAGGACGAGGCGACGGCGCACTACTGCACGCGGCCCGAGGACCGCACGGTCGGCATCGACATCGCCGACTGGCGGACGGCGGACGTCGACTTCAAGGTCTGGGACTTCGCGGGCCAGGACTCCTACGGCCTCACGCACCAGTTCTTCCTCTCCGCGTCCAGCCTCAACGTCATCGTCGTCGACGTGAACCGCTACGCGATCGGCGACGACGCCGCGTCCAAGGCCGAGGTCATCGCCTACGAGTGCGAGGTCGAGCTCGGCTACGACATCAAGGACCACCTCCCCGCGATCACGAAGCCCATCGTCGAGAGCGACCGCATCTACCAAGACACCTTCAAGGCCATGTACGGCCACGAGCCCGACGCGTCCGTCGCGCTCCTCGAGCTCGAGGACAAGCGGGCCTACCGCAGCGGCGCGCTCCTCACGACGGCCCAGGCCCGCGAGCAGCGCGCGGGGCCGCCCGAGGCGAACCTGCACTCGCCGCTCGCGCGCGCGGACGCGGGACCCGCCGCGCCGCCGTCCCGCCCGGAGACGCCGCGGGACGACCTGGAGCGCAAGCTCGGCGCCGTCAACCGGCGCAAGGCCGAGGTCGCGTCCCTCTTCGCCGCCGCCGGGGAGGCCCAGCGCGCGATCAAGGCCCTCGTCTGCCCCGGGAGCGCGGAGTGGGTCGACGCTGCCAAGGGCGGCGAGGTCCGGACGGGCTTCGCCTGCGCCGCCATCGCCTACGCGACGTGCCCGGGCGTCAAGTCCGAGGCCCGCGTCGTCGAGAAGGCCGACTTCAAGTACAAAGGCAACCTGCGCCGCGTCCGCGACGTCGCGCGCCTCGCCATCGTCGCGGACTCCGTGAAGGCGCTCGTCGACATCGTCGCATTCCTCCTGGAGACCTTCACGGTTGTCGAACTCGTCAACCGCTTCGCGGACCCGACGCCCCTCGGCTGGCGCGATGTCCAGTTGTTGGTCAAGGTGCCCGTCGCGGGCGGCGCCGGCGGCCGCGCCGCGCACCACATCTGCGAGCTCCAGGTCCAGCTCGAGGCCTTCAACGTGGCCCGCGTCAAGGCCCACGAGCACTACGCCGTGCTCCGGAGCAAGCTCCAGGAGGTGCTGCCCGTGGGCGACCTGAACCGCGTGCAGAACTACCTCCTCGACAAGCTCACGGACAGCGTGTCGTCCGAGGCCGTCTTCGACAAGGAGGTGCAGAAGTGGATCGACATTTTGCAGGACCGCGTCGCGAGCGCGACGGGCGCCAAGTTCCTGCTCATGGCGACGAAGATCGACCTCTGCGCGGCCGCGGCGCCGAAACGCGTCGACGCGATGCTCGCGCGCGTCAAGGGCGCCGAGGACCGGCGGCGGGAGACGGTGGAGCACGAGATCGCGGCGCTGGACGAGGACGAGAAGCTCGGCGCCGAGGGCGGCGCCATCAAGAAGCACCGCCTCGTGCGCCGCGGCGGCCTCAAGGCGGCGGCGCTCGCGAAGACGACGAAGAAGCGGAAGACGGAGCTCAAGCGCCTGTTGCAGACGCGGCCGAAGATGATCGAGGACCGCATCTACAGCCTCTCGGCGCACACGGGCGACGGCGTCGACGCCGCGCGCGCCGCGATTTTAGGCGCCGCGAACCGGAAGCACTTTGCGTTCCTCGGCGAGGACGTGCCCCAGGCCGACATCGACCTCCAGGAGGAGCTCGACCGCTGCCGCGTCTCCGGGCGGCCCCACCTCGGCTGGAAGGAGTACGCGGCCCTGTCGAAGAAGTGCGGCGTCCCCGCGAAGCACCTCGAGACGGTGACGCGCGACCTTCAGCGGCGCGGCGCGGTGCTCCGCTTCGGCGAGTCGACGACGAACCTGGACAAGGCGCTGGCGTCCATGGTCTTCACGGACCCCCAGTGGGTCGTCGACGCGCTGAAGCAGATCGTGCGCCACGACCTCCGGCGCCACCTCGAGCCGTCGGAGGAGGCGGACTTCGACCGGGGGCTGCTCCGGTCGTCGACGCTCCGGCGGCTCTGGCGCCTCGGGAGCGGCGACGGCTTCAAGCTGATCAAGAGCCACGGCACGGCGCTCTCGGCCGTCGACCGCGCGGCGAACCAGGCGAAGCTCATGGACGCGCTCGAGGCGCTCGTCGTCCAGTTCGAGCTCGCGGTGCCGCTCCAGTCGCCGGGTAGCGCGCGGGACGTGCGGGCCGAGGCGGACGCGACGTACCTCGTGCCCGCCTACCTGCCGGAGGCCGTCCCCGAGGACGTCCAGATCCTCTGGGACGCCGCGGGCCGCGACGGCTGCCACGTCGGCGTGCGGATCGAGTTCCCCTACGGCGCGCCGCGCGGCTTCCTCGAGCGGTGCCTCGTGCGCCTCATCAAGAACCTGCGCACGGGCGGCGGGACGCAGAAGCGCGTCGCGGCGTGGAAGAGCGGGCTGCTGGCCGTCGGGGACCCGCTGCTCCGCTTCGAGATGCGGCGCGGCGCGGACGACGGCACGCTCTGCTGGATCGATGTCGAGGCGCGCCACGGCGGCGGCGGCGCCCTCGCGCGGACGGCGGCCTGGGCCATGAACACCACGGCCAAGCTCATCGCCGTGGAGCTGCTGACGGAGTGGCCCGGGGCCATCTACGCGCTCAAGGTGCCGTGCCCGTCGTGCGCGCGGCTGCCCGACGGCAGCGCCAAGTCCTGCTGGGCCATCGAGGAGTTCGTCAACACGGGCACGGCGACGACGTTCAAGTGCGACAAGTGCGACGCGGACGTCAAGCTCGCGGACCTCATGCCGCCCATCGACCTCGTCCTCAAGGACCTGAGCCGCGTGAAGCGCATCGCCGCCAAGTGGAAGATGTTCCAGCGCCACGCGTCCGCGTCCTTCCGCGACGAAGCGACGAAGGCGGCCGCCGCGCCGGCGCCGAGCCCGCGGCCGCCGCCCGCGCGCCCGGACCACCCGCGGCCCGCGCGGCCCGCGCCGACGCTGCAGACGCCGCCCGCGCGGCCAGAACCCGAACCCGAACCCGGGCCAGACCGCCCCGGGTATTCCTACGTTTAGCACGGTCCTAGCTAAATTCCGTGTAATCGATGCCGTCGACGACGCGGACGCCGTCGCCCCGCATCTGCGCGACGGCGAGGTCCACTCGGAGAGCTCTTCACTCTCTACCTCAACGTCTGATCTTCAGCTCCGGGCCAAGCTGCCCGACGATGGAGATGCCCAGGCGCTTTCGGAAGCCATGAGAGCGCTCGCGGTGCTGTGGCTGGCGGTGGTCCGCGGCCAGCTCCTCCCGGGCGCGGCGGCGCCCGGCGGCAGCCTGGCCCGCTTCGCCGCCGTCCGGCCGCCGCCCCGGCCGGGGCCGCGGCGGGCCGACGGCACGCCGGCCAGCGCGCGCCGGGGCCACAAGCCCGGCGAGCAGCCGCACCGCCGGGACGTCGCGCGGCTGCGGGCGGCGCCCTGCACCGTCACGGCGCCCGCGGAGACCGGCGCGCTCGCGGCGGCCGTCGCGGCGCTGCGCTTCGACGGCGACGGCGACGCGGTCGTCTGCCTCGCCGCGGGCACGCACGTCGTCGAGGAGACGATCCTCATCGGCGGCGACCCCGCGCGCCGCGGCTGGCTCGCCCTGCGCGGCGAACCCGGGGCCGTCGTCTCCGGCGGCGCGGCCCTGGAGGGCTGGCGGCGCGCGGGCCCGGGGACGTGGACGCGCGCGCTCAAGCGGTCGCCGCCGCGCGTGCTCTTCGACGAGGCCCGCGGCCGGCGCGTGCCGCGGACGTCGTTTCCACAAACGTCCCTGACGAAGCCGCACCCGAACGCGACGCTCTTCCTACCGTCGGCGAACGCGTCGGCCTTCGAGGACGTCGAGTTCGTCTGGACGGGCACGCAGCGGTCCTTCGCGGAGATCCGGTGCCGCGCGTTCCTCGCGGACGGGGGCGCCCTCGTCGGCGTCGACGCCGAGTGCGCCGAGATCGCCTGGGGCGCCGGGCCCGTGCCGCGGCCGACGTCGGTCGAGAACGTCGCCGACTACGGCCACGCGGCGCCAGCGTTCTTCGCCACGAAGCGCGACCTCGTCTACCGGTCATTGGACGACGCCCCGCCGGTCCTCGTCGGCCCGCGCCTCGAGCAGGTGCTGCGGATCGAGGCGACGAGCCGCGTCGCCGTCCTCGACGTCGAGTTCCGCCCAGGGCAGCAAAAGAGAGCGACATTCCCAACTTCAAAGGCTCCTATCTCGGCCGTTTTCCACTCGTTTCGGCTGATTTTTGGACGAGCGATCATCTCTCGGAACGGTCTCGAAGCGTGGATGCTTTTTCCGGAACGCGCGCGCGCGGAACACTCATGTTGAAGCGAACTTGAATCACCATTTTGCTGCCCAGGTTCCGCCACTGCGCGCGGCTCCCGGAGACGCGGGGCTTCGTCGACAAGCAGGCCGCGGTGCTCTGGTCGCGGGGCGACGCGCCGGGTGCCGTGCCCCAGGGCCCGTCGCCCGCGGCGCGGAACCGGTCCACGGTCGTGAGCCCGGCCTGCGTCGCCGTCGAGGGCGCCGAGGCCGTCGTCGTCGACTCGTGCGCGTTCCGCCGCGTCGCGGCCGCGTACGCGCTGGCCGTCTCCGGCGGGTCGCGCCGCTGCGCCGTGGCGAACTGCACGTTTAGCGACCTGAGCGGCGGCGGCATCTTCGCGGGCTCCGTCGACGCCGCGCGCGCGCGCGACCGGCGGCGCGTCGACGCGCAGCTGAGCGTTTTCGGGAACACCGTCGTCGACTCGGGCCGCGAGTTCCGCGGCGCCGCGGCCATCTTCGGCGGCTACCTCGCCCAGAGCCGCGTCGAACGGAACACGGTGCGCCGCGCGCCCTACAGCGGCATCTCCCTCGGCTGGGGCTGGGGGCGCTTGCGCGGGTCGCTCGCGCGGGACAACGTCGTCGCCGAGAACTTCGTCAAGGACGCCGTGTAGACGCTGGCCGACGGCGGCGGCATCTATTTGCTGGGGTCCCAGCCGCGGACGCGCGTGTCGCGCAATTTCGTCGACGGCTTCCGCCACGGCTACGCGTACTACCTGGACGACGGCTCCGTCCACGTGCAAGTCGCGGACAACGTCGCGCGCTACCGGCGGCCGCCCGACGACGCGTCGCGGAGCACGGGCAAGGGGCCGGCCTGCGCGACGGCCAAGGGCTACGCCCACGCCCTCGCGGGCTTCAAGTGCTGCGGCTGGTCCGACCGGGGGCCGGGCGTGCCGCTCTTCACTTTAGGGTGCGTCGACGCCGCGCAGTGGAGACTCCGCGGCTGGAGCGAGCGCGCGTTCCCCGAGCGCCACGCGCTCATCGTCGCGCGCTCGGGCGACGCCCGGGCGTCGTGCCTCCACCACGCCTGGGACGCGGACGCGCTCGCGGTCGTGAGGGGGGCGGGCGACCCGCGGACCGCGGCGAACAAGAGGGCCGTGCTGGCGACGGGCGCCACGGAGGCGCCGGGCGGCGACTGCGACGAGCTCCGCACCATCGTCTCCAAGCACCACGCGTCCTGGTGCCCCTGCCAGGCCGCCGTCACCGTCCACTACGACGACGAAAACGACGCGAGTTGCGACCGGCCGTGGCGCCAGACGAGGCGCGAGGCGAGCCACGTCGCCGCCAAGTGCAAGCTCCCCGAGTCGATGAAGTACGACGCGACGCGGCTGCGGGGGGTCCAGGAGCGCGCCAACGCGGCGCCCCGCTGGGCGGGGGGGCGGAGCGCGTAATGCGGGGGTGAACAGGCGTCGTTGCTGGCGAGCGTGGGTTTGCGCAACGACGTGAGGTCAGAGCGCGAGGTGCCCGTTTCACGACGCGCGCTCTCGACGCTCGCACCCGTTCTCGCTCACGCCGCTCGTGCCTCGTCCAGGACGTCCGGGCGCGACGCGAACAAACTCAGTCTCGAGGAACGTCGTGTAACTTCGAGCAGAGAGTCGAAAGGTTCTGTCCGACGTTCCGCCGCACCTCGAGGCGTCGCCGCGCTCCGAGACGTTCGAAAACCATGATTCCGTCCGTCCAACCCGACGTCCTGCGCACGGAGCTCAACCGGTCCATCTACTACCTCGTGTCGCGCGAGCGCGGCGCGCCCGGCGCGTCGCGATCGTTCGACGATTTCCGCGACCTCCGCATCGCGCTCGCGGGCCAGCTGCCGCACCTCGCCTTCCCGCCCGCGGGCGACGTGGCCGACGAGTACGCCGCCGTCGCGCGGCTGAAGACGCTCCGGTCCTGGCTCGAGGCCGTGTCCGCGCACCGCGACGGCCTCGACGTCGCGGCGCGGCACGAGCTCGACCAGTTCCTCATGCCCGGGCCGTTCCGCATGCTCCTGCCGCCGCTGGGCTCGAAGGCGCGGCCCATGCGGCGGAGCCAGTCCTGGGTGTCGATCATCTCGAACTCCGACGACGACGAGGCCGCGGCGAAGCCCGCCGACGGCTGGGCCGCGAGCCTCGGCGAAATCTTCTTCGGAGAAGCGCGCTTCGACTCGCCGCCGAGCCACCTGCGCCCGCCCGGCCGCCCGCGGGCGTCCTGGGCCTGCTGCTTCGGCGGCGGCGGCAAGGCGCCGCCCGAGCGGCCCGCGGCGCCCGCGGACTTCCGGCCGCCGTTCGCGCGGAACGGCGCCGCGCCGGTGGGGCTACGAATCGACGAGGGTGTGCGGTACGCCGACCTCTAATCACACGGATCGTGGGTCTTCTAGAGCATCCCAGGACACGCCGCAGGACCGCATGTTGAAGGTAACGACCGGTTCAATTTCTTGCCACAGCTGCGATACAGCTGCGAGAGCTGAGGGCGACCCGCTCTGCGCACACGCGGCCGCCATGGCCGCGCTCATCGGCGCCGAGGCCGTAGACAACGCAACAACAGAAGCAACCGTCGAGGCGCACGCCGCCGCGCAGCCGAAGAGCTCCGAGCCGTTCATGCGGGGCCTCTGGAGTGCGGCCCACCGCATCGTGTCGCCCCGCACGCTGCTCGGCGCCGTGCAGTACGCGTCGCCGGCCTACAGCGACTGCGTGTCCCACTTCGACCTGCGGGGCGCGTCGCGGCGCGTCGCCGTGACCATCGACGACGCGCCGTCGGACGCGGCGCTGATGCATCGGACGCTCGACGCGCTGCGAGACGCGGGCGTGACGGCGACGTTCTTCGTCGTCGCGAACTTCTGCCGCGACGCCGAGCGGCTCGCGACCCTGCGGCGCGCCGTCGCCGAGGGCCACGAGCTCGGCAACCACATGTGCGACGACGCGAGCAGCCAGAGCATGAGCGAATCCGAATTCCGGGGCGCGCTCGCGCTCTGCGACGAGCTCATCGCGTCGCTCGACGCGTCCTGGCGGTCGCGGCCCTTCCGCTGGTTCCGGCCGCCCCAGGGCTACATGGCGAGCCACATGAAGCGCGCCCTCGCGGAGTTCGGCTACTCGTGCGCGCTCGCCGACGTATTTCCCCTGGACACGGAGGTGCGGAGCGTGGACTGGCTCGTGGACTTCGTGGCGTCGAAGACGCAGCCGGGATCCATCATCCTCCTGCACGCGCCGGACGTGCGCGAGACGGACCGGGGCAAGAAGCACGAGCGGCAGAACAACGCGGACGTCTTCCCGAAGCTGTTCCCGCGGCTCCGGGAGTCCTTCGAGCTCGGGTCCCTCTCGGACCTCGCCGCGGAGCACGAGTCCATCCTCGAGGCGGAGCTATCCGCGGCCGCGTCCGCCGGAAACGAGAGTCTCGACGCGCCCGCGGCGCCGCGGAGCACCTTCGCGAGCTGGTTCTCCGCGCCGGCGCCGGCGTCATGACGCGGGGGCGTGTGTAAACTCTTTGCTGAGAACACCCGACGTTCATGTCGGGGCTTCTCTTCATCGTCGTCGAGCGCGAACCGACCGCCGTTGAAGTTTCCACGTGCACACATTGCAATGCCAACCGATGGGGGCTGCCTCGATCGTTGCGTGAGGTCGCGACGATGAGCGGGACGCCGAAGCAGCGGTCGGCGAACGTCGAGTCGCTGTCGCGGTCGCAGCGGGCGAGCGCCGCGCCGCGGAGCCTCGGGCGCACGTCCATGAACGTGCGCGTGAGCCGCAAGGACTCGCGCGAGTACTTGAGGCTGCACCAGCTCGAGCCCTACTTCGAGGACGCGGCGCGGCAGGCGCTGGTCCAGGGCGACCGGCCCGCGGAGCGGCTGCGGGCCTACTTCCGGCGCGTCCTCGCCATGCGCCAGGTCGTCGGCCGCGAGTACGCGTACGTGTCCGCGACGGCGTGGAATAGACGGTCCTTCGTCGTCGTCTTCCGCGAGGCCATCCAGAACCTGCTGGGCGAGCACCTGACCGTGGGCGACTTCCACCAGCTCCTGCAGCTCGTCTGCCCGGACTTCCCCCGGGCGACGCTCGACGCGATCGTCCACGTGCTGCCGCGCGCGCTGATCAACGACGGCCTCGCGAGCTGCGCGACGCTGGCCACGGCCTTCGAGGTCCACTGGTTCCACGCGAAATTCCTCGGCGCCCTGGACCCCTTCTTCCGACGCCTCGTGACCATCGACCCGGTGACGCGGAGCTCCGTCGCGCTGCCGGCGCCCGCGCCCGCGCCGGGCGACCGCACGGCGCCGTCGACGCCTGTGTGGAAATCAAATCTTCAACCCGAATTCAATGTGAGCGTATGCGAATGTTTTGACACAAGAACTTTCACTGTGCTTCGAGAACTCGATGAGAGAAAACGATCCGTCCAAAAATCAGCCGAATCGACTTCGATTTGACCGAGCTAGAGAATTCTGAAGTTTGGTCAGGACCACCCAAACCAGTGGTTGAATTCGGCACAGGTCGACGCCGTCGTCCGCGCTGCCCGTCGGCGACCTCGCCGCGGCCGTGACCTACCTCAACGCGTCCAAGGCGAGCCACCAGGCCCACCCGGCGGCCATCTCCTGGGCCGTCGTCGAGCGGAGCCTCGCGGCCGCGGGCTTCTCGTCCGCCGTGTCCTTCCGGCGCTTGTGCCAGTGCCTCATCCAGTCCGAGAGCCTCGCCGCGCGGCTCCACGCGCGGCCCAGGGCGAAGCAGGCGCCCGACGACCACATCTGCGCCCTCGTCGAGGGCCGGGCGACGCGGCGGTCGAACGGCGACGGCGACAAGAAGAAGGCGGACGTCGACGACGCCAAGGCGGACGACCGCGCTTTGAGCCCGCCCACGAAGCCCGCGCAGAAGCGGGGCAAGACCGCGCGCAAGAAACCCGCGCCCGCCGCGACAAACGACGACGCGGCCCCCTAATTTAACTCGTACCAGATCCCACCGGCACGGTGCCGCACATGCGCTTGTGGTTGCCGACGAGGCTCCAGTCCAGGCGCTGGCACTCCTTGGAGCAGTAGGCCGCGTCCTTGCAGCGCGCGCACCGGAGGAACTTGTGGTCGTCACTCTCGAGGGTATCGCACTGCTTCAACTGGCACTTGCGCTTCCCCGCGACGCGTTGCTGGACGTGGACGGTCCGGAGCGGGTTGAGCTCTTGTAGGACCTTCATGTGGTCGCGTTCCGACTCGCAGCTCGCGAGCCGCGTCTGCATGGTGACCATGCTCACGTTCTGGCGGCCGAGCGTGAGCGCGTCGGCGACGGTGACGCGCGCCGTGATCGTCACGTCGCCCTCCGATACGTCGAAGCGGATGCATTCGCGCGTCGCGGCGTCGGGCCGCTCGTCTTTCACGCGCCGCATCTCCACGGCGAGCACGCTGGCGTGCAAGATCGCCGCCTTGTAATCCAGGAGCACGGGCGCGCCGCCGTGGATGTCCTCGTGGAGCTCCGCGTCGCGGTGGACCGCTTCGATGGGCGCGCGGCACTCCGGGCACTCGCCGAGCTTCGCCGCGCAGGCCGCGCAGCAGCCCGCGTGGCCGCAGGGCACCAGCCGCGCCATGTCCGAGTGCGGCAGGCTGTCGCAGCACACGACGCAGGCGACCATGGGGTCGTGCGCGCGGACGTCCGTGACGCGGACCTGCGCGAGTTTTACGGCCAAGTAGTCGCCGTCGACGCGCGCGGACGTCACGGTGAAGCCCGTGCGGGCGACGACGCCCGCGAAATCGAAGGCCATGCTTTCGACGTCGCTGAGACCGTCCATGCGCCCGAGCAAGTAGTCGCGGCCCTCGCGCGGCGACGCGAGCTTCTCGCCCTTGTCCACGAGCGCCGCGTGCGCCAGCGACTCGCGCCAGTGCAGCGCCACGGCGGCGGCATACGCCGTCTTGCCGAAGACCGCCGCGTCGTCCCGCGCCGCGCAGAGGGACCCCAGGGCCGTGACCTCGCCGTCGTCCGCGCCGCCCGTCAGGAACGCGAAGAAATGGACGCACGCGTCGCCGCACGCGCGCCAGGCCTCGTCGTCTCCGAGCGCCTTCCGGGCGTCGACCTGGACGCACGCGTCGCCGCACGCGCGCCAGGCCTCGTCGTCTCCGAGCGCCTTCCGGGCGTCGACCTCGACCCAGCGCACCAATGCTAAGAAGAGGGAGAAGCGCGCCATGGGCTCGAGCGCCGCGAGCCGGCGCTGGCCGTCGGCGTAGAGGGCGGACGCCAGGGCCTTGTCGGCTCCACGACAGCACGTTGTGACGAGCGGCGCGCAGGATCGCTTCGCGAAGAACTCGGTCAGGGAGGCACCCTCGAGGCTTAGCAGCGCCGCGAGCGCGTTCGCCGCGTCGTGCGCCATGCCAACCGCGGGACTCGCAGCCTCCATCGGGCTGCCCTTGATGCCAACCGCGGGACTCATAGCCTCCATCGGGCTGCTTGAAGCCAGAATCTGATGAAAGCCCGGCGGCGTGGATACAATTGTATGTTGCATTAATTGTTGAAGGGGACGCGCGCCCGACTGGCGCCCGTCCGGGGAGTACACGCCAAGTTACTCGTCGTTCGCTTTCGATTTTTTACGTCGACCGGGCGGGGTTTTCGGGCCCCGCGGTCCGGGACGCGCGCGTCGAAGGGCGCCGGACTGGGGGGGGGGCGGGCGGGGGTGTCACGCCCCGCGATCCGGTCCCCCGGCTCACTCGAGCTCGGCCGTCGACGGCGCCCAGAGCTTGATCGTCGAGTCGCCGGAGCCGGAGAGGACCTTGTCGCCCATCTGGAGGATCGTCCAGACGGCCTGCGAGTGGCCCGCGTAGGTCTGCTCGAGCTCGCCCGTCTCGTAGTCCCACATCTTGATGGTCTTGTCCTCGCAGGCGCTCAGCAGCTTGCCCTCCTGGTACTTGACGAGGCAGCGGTAGGGCGGCCGCTGGTTCCACTTCATCTTCAGGTGGTCCGCGACCTGGAGCGTGAAGAGGCACTCGCCCGTCCAGATGTTCCAGATCTTGCACATGCCGTCGTGGCCCGCCGACGCGAAGCGGTCCTTGTCGAGGAGGAGGCAGTACCAGACCCAGATCTTGTGGCCGTCCTCGTGCTCCTCGGGCTCCCACGACTCGTTGCCGTACGTCCGGAGCACCGTGCCGTCCTCGAAGTTCCAGAGCTTCAGGCTCCAGTCCGCCGACGCGGAGATGAAGGTGTTGTCGTCGATGATCTCGATGCCGTAGATGCCCTGCGTGTGCTTGATCATGTAGCGCTCGCACTCCTCCTTGCCGACGGTCCAGTGGCGGATCGTGCGGTCGCAGGACCCGCAGAGGAAGCTCTTCTTGTCCGGGAAGAGCGTGATGCACATGACCCAGGAGTCGTGGCCCTCGTACTCGAACTTGACCTCGCCCGTCTTCAGGTCCCAGTGCTTGATGAGGTTCTTGACGCCGCCGGAGAGCAGGTTGTCCTCGTCGATGAGGCAGAGGCACATGACGCCGCCCTTGCCGTGGTCGTGGTTCTTGTGCGGGCCGTCCTGGCCGTGGTCCAGCACCATGGGGTCCTGCGCGCCCGTCTCCAGGTCCCAGAACTTGATGAGGCCGTCGTCGCCGCCGGAGGCGTACTTCGTCTCCGTGATCTTGCAGAGGAAGCGCACGCGCTTCCAGTGCGCCGCCTCGATCGTGCGCTCGCAGTCGAGGATCGGCGCCGCGAAGGACGCCATGGCACCGGGCGCGGACCGCGACGCTGGCGCGCGAGGCGGCGGCAGTCCACTCGAGCACGCCTTTCTTTCCGATATTTGGGACGCGCTAATTGAATTGTGCAAGGGGCCGGAGTTTCGCCACCCGGAGTTTGGAACGATGGCGGACGCTGCCCCCTCGCGCGCGTCGACCCAGACCGCCCCGCGCCTGCGGCGGGACCAGGCGTCGAAGCACGCCCACGTGCGGCACCGGGCGAACCTCGAGGTCGGCCTCGGGCGCATGCTCGCCGTCGCGGAGATGCAGCTGCGCGCGACGGCGGCGACGAACGACGACCTCGGCGACGCCCTCGCCGAGGACCGGCGGCGGCTCCTGGACGCGGCCCTGTGCGCCCTCGCCGAGGCGCGGGCCCTCGGCGAGCCGTCGGAGGCGGCGAAGCGGCGGCGGCGGGGCGCGGCGCCGCCGTGGTTCCAGGGCGACGTGCTCCGGCTCGCGCTGTCCTTCGCCGCGCGCGACGGCGCGGCTTTAGGCGCCATCGCCGCCGTGTCCAAGGCCGCGGCGGCGGCGTCCGCCGGCGCCTGGGCGGACCTCGTGCGCCGCGAGGCGCCGAGCGTCCACGCGGTGCTGGGGAGCGCGCCCGCGCGGCGGCTCCGCCGCGTCTACTTCAAGAACCTGCGCTACGGCCCCGCGACGCCGCCGCGGCCGCGGCGGGTCCACGGCTGCGTCGAGTTCATCGTCGACGGCGTCGTCCGCGCGTCGTCCGTGGCGGCCTTCGGCGACGCGGGCTCGCGGGGCTGCTCCGTGCACGTCTTCGCGCCGCCCGTGCCCTTCAAGACCAAGGCGGACCGCGTCGGCGGCAACGTCACCTACGACGGCTTCCACCAGCCCGTCGTCATCCAGGACTTCGAGGTCCGCGCGCTCGCCGTCGCGGACCGCTACGCGTGCTCCTGGACGGGCCACAGCGACGAGCGGCGCGAGTGGCAGCAGATCCACGCCGTCGACGACCGCGACGAGCCGCGTCCTTGCGATTGTTTCGAGAGCCTTCGACCGGGGAAACGGCGAAAAATTGTAGGCGACGAGCCCTACTTCGACTCCATGCTCGCCGTGCTCGAGACGCGCGTGCCCGTCGACAAGGACTGCTCCGTCTGCGCCATCTACCGGTCGCTGTGCGACACGCGCGGGGAGAAGCGGCGGAGCGACCTGACGACGGTGTTCCTCATGCGCAAGGACCGGACGCAGGAGGACGCGCACGTCTTCGAGCTCCACGCGGCGCTGCTCGCGCGGACGTCCTGGGACTACAGCGACGAGACGGGCGGCCTCTTCTCCTACGGGGACCCCGACCCGAAGGACGCGGACGCGTACGCGGACGCGTTCTGGCGGGAGTCGTGGCGGCCGAACGCGCGCGGGGACCCCGCGCTCCCCTGGAAGCGTATCGACGGCTGGTAAGTGTCAATTAGCGGACGGCGCCGTCGTCGCGCGGGTGGACGCGGAGCGTCTCGAGGGACTCGCGGAGGGAGTGGATGCGGCCGACGTCGCTCCGCGCGCGGCGGCCGCGCGGCGGCGCCTCGACGGGCGCGCTCGTCCAGCGGCCGGCGAGCCCGCCGTCGTCGGCCTGGCCGTCCTCGAGGGCCCGCTCGAGGAAGCGCACGCGGCGCCGCAGGTGCTCGAGCTCGTCGTCGCGCGCGTCGCGGTCGTCCTTGGCCTCGGCGAGGGACGCCTCCAGCTCGCGGACGCGCCGCGCGCCCCGCGCGAGCTCGCGCTCCTGCGCCGCGTTCCGGCGCTTCGCCTCGTCGAGGGCGCGGGTCGCCGCCTCCAGGGTCTCGACGAGCGCCTCGCGCGGCGCGAACTCGCACGACGGCGCGTGCCGTCGCGCCGCCGCGGAGTCGCCGGTCCAGGGGCAGCCGTGGATCGCGTAGGCGCAGTGGCACTCCAGGTCCTCGATGAGGCCGACGATGGCCCGCGGCGCGCGCACGACCTCCTCGGCCACGAGCTCCGCGGCGCAGACGGGGCACCGGTTCCCGTGGCACATCCACTCCACGAGCTCCTCCTCGCAGAACAGGTGCTCGCAGGCCGTCTGCACGGGGGCCTCGAGCACGCCGTGGCAGATGGAGCAGAGCAGGTGCCGGCTCACGTTGTTGCCGTCCACGAAGCAGCTCAGCTCCCGGCCCATGGCGGCTGCCCCGCTGTGCTTTGGACTTGCACTTCACGTTGAAATGTCGTTGCAGAGGGTGGGTTTTGCGTGACGAGCTCGGCCGGCTCCTGGCAACCGCGTCGACGTAGCTCGGCCGGCTCCTGGCAACCGCGCCGCGACACGATGACGACGCGCCCGGCGTCGGAGGTGTCCCGCGAGTACGACTGCGCCATCTGCCTGTCGACGCCCGAGGGCCAGGTCCACCAGTGCCGCAACGGCCACCTCTTCTGCGCCGAGTGTTTGACGGAGCACCGGAACAAGCACCGGGGCACGCAGTGTCCGACGTGCCGCGTCGCGCTCCCGAGCGAGCCCATCCGGAACCTCGTGGCGGAGAACGCGATCGCGCGGCGGCCGACGGTCTGCGCCTTCTGCAACCTGAACACGACCGTCGGCGAGCTGCGCGCGCACGTCGGCCGGTGCCCGAAGCGGAAGGTGCCCTGCGTCGCCGCGGGCGACGGCTGCATGTGGAACGGCCTCGTCGTCGGCGAGCGCGCGGCCCACGAGAAGGCCTGCACCTTCGCCATCTGCCGCAAGATGCTCGAGCCGCTGAAGTGCGAGCTCGCGGAGTCGAAGCGCGAGTGCGCGGCGCTCCGGTCGCGGCTCGAGGTGCCGCTGGCGTCCATCTACCCCGGCGGCGCCATCCGCGTCACCGGCGACGGCCTCTGGCGCATGTACAGCGACGAGGAGACCTTCGCGACGGCGGGCTGGCCGTCCCTCGCGTTGAAGGGCGGCAAGTGGTACTACGAGGTGACGATCCTCGAGGACTGCGAGTACCCCCAGTTCGGCTGGGCGCGCCAGGGCTTCGCCGCGGGCGCGGGCGACGGCTGCGGCGACGACGAGCGCTCCTACGCCTGCGACGGCCACCGCTGCAAGCTCTGGCACGCGTCCGAGTTCCAGGACTGGCTCGAGGACGAGGACGCCAAGTGGGAGCCGGGCGACGTCGTCGGCTGCCTGCTGGACCTGGACCAGGGCCAGATCCACTTCTCGGTCAACGGCGACTACGACGAGGACGAGCCCGCGTTCGTCGACGTGCCCGTCCTGAGCGGCTACTTCCCGTGCCTGACGATGAAGGGCGGCCTCGTCAAGGTCAACTTCGGCGCCCGCGACTTCGCCCGATTCAAGCCCCACGGCGACGACGGGCCCGAGGTCCAGGGGCCGCCCGACGGGTACAACGCCGTCGCCCACCACGACATGTACGAATACGACCTCGCATAAGAGCTCATCGTGGTTTATTCCCGTCGCCCCTGGAGCATGCTCCGCCAGCGCCGCCGCGCCTCCTCCTGGCGCCGGCTCTTGCGCTCCCGGGGCGTCGACGGCGTCGGCGCCGCGCCGCGGACCTCCTCGGGCGTCGCCGCAGCGTCGGGGACCTCGGGCGTTGCGGCGCCGGGGACCTCCGAAACCTCGGGCGTCGCCGCGGCGCCGGGGACCTCCGAAACCTCGGGCGTCGCCGCGGCGCCGGGGACCCGCGGCGCGCACGGCGGCGACGGCGTCCGCGACGCGCGCGGGCGCCGCGGGCGAGCGCGGCGCGCGCCGCGGCCCCCGCGCCGGGGGCTTGCGCGTCGGCCGCGCGGGCGCCGGCCGCCGCGGCTTGCACGCCTTCCGCGGCGGCGACGGCGGCGCGGCCGCGGCGAGCGGCGGCGGCGGCGCGGCGCCGAGGGCCTTGGCGAGGGCCCGGTCGACGCGCGCGTCGAGATAGGCGAAGACGGCGCCCGCCGCGGCGAAGGGCACGCGCTTGTGGTCCGACGTGCCCGCGCTCCGCACCGCGTAGCAGTTCCAGGCGGGCGCCGCGCCGCGCGACCAGGGCCGCGGGTTCGGGTCGTCGAGGGGCTTGCGCGACGTGCACCAGTTGACGCAGGGCCCGGCCGGGTCCCGGCCTTTGTGCGTGCCGTCGAGCAGCGCGACGGCGCAGGGGTCGTAGGGCGGCTTCGACCGGTCGCGGCCTGTGTGCAAATCAACCAGTGAGCTGGGACGTCGGGGCCAAACTTGAGAATTCTCTAGCTCGGTCAAATCGAAGTCGATTCGGCTGATTTTTGGACGAATCGATTGCTCTCAGCGAGTTCTCGAAGCACGGTGGAAGTGCTTGTGTCAAAACATTCGAATACGCGCACATTGAAGTCGGGTTGAAGATTTGATTTGCACACAGGTCGCGGCGCCGGAGCCACGCGGCGGCCGCCGCGCCGCCGAGCGAGTGCGCGACGACCGCGACGACGGGCGCGTCGCCGGCGCGCCGCGCCGCCTTCACGGCGGCGTCGATGGTGTCCGCGTCCTCGGCCGACCCGGAGGCGGGCGGGGCCACGCAGACGGACCAGCCGCGCGCGAGTGCGAGCGCCGCGTAGTGGCAGACCGCGCCCGCCTCCGGGTCCGCGACGGCGAAGTCGAGCGTGGACCAGAGGCCCGCGTCCGTCGGGCCGCTGCCGCCGCCGGGCACGAGCACGCAGAGCGGGCGGCCGGGCGTCGTCGCCGCGTAGCAGCGGTCGTCGCACCCGGCCGTGGCGAGCTTCTCCAGGCCCAGGGCGAGCAGGGCCCGGAGCGGCGCCTCGCGCACGGCCGGGTCCACGGCCGGGGGCTTGGCTTTGGGCTTATTCCAGGCCGCGGGCGGCGCGAAGGCGCCCATCGTCGTCGTCGGGGCAGCAACGATTTGCTAGGTGCCCCGTGTTGTGTGCAACGACGGCACCATCAAAGTCGATCCAAAGCGGCCCGACTCGTGCGCGCCATCAATCGCGACTGCTGCCGCTGAGCGCGCGCTCGCGCTGCAGGACTCGGCAGCAGGTTCGGACGGGCATTGGCGACTGTCGCTCTCGAGGCGAACATGAGCGACGACGACGGCGAGAGCACGCGGCCCGACGGCGAGAGCACGCCGTCGAGCCCGCGGCCCGCGCGGGCGCGCCAGCCGTCGACGCTGCTGCGCGGCTTCTTCCGGGACGTCGACCTCCGGCGCGTCGACTGGCAGCAGCGCCAGTTCGAGGCCAAGGCGGCCGGCGGCCGCAAGCGGCCGCGGCCCGGCGGCGGCCGCGGCCGCAAGAGCAAGCAAGAGCACCGCGCGCCCCCGGCGGAGACGCCGCCCGCGACGGAGCTGCCCGCGGCGCTCTTCGCGGCGCGGCCCGAGCGGCCGCCGACGGGCAAGCAGAAGAAGCCCGCGCACGGCCGCGTCGTCGAGCGCGGCGCCGGCGCGCTCCGCGCGCGCGCCGCGCGCTGCGCGCGCGTCCTGCCCGAGCTCGGCGAGTGGCTCTTCGGCGACGAGGCCCAGGCGTCGGCGCGCGCGCGGGACTTCGACGAGCTCGCGCGGCTGTTGGGCGAGGCGGAGGTCGACGCGCGCGGCTTCCGGGGCTTCGCCCGCCTCGAGGCGCTCGCCGGCTCCATGCACGCGGTCTGGGAGTGCGCCCAGCCCGGGACGCTGGCGCGCCTCGGCGCGCGCTGCGCCGCGGCCGGCGCGCGGCGGGGCCGGCCGCGGAAGCGGTCGCCCGCGGCCGCGCCGGGCCTCGACGCCGCGGGCTTCCGGAATCGCTGCGAGGTCGTCCTCGTCGGCGACGACGGCGACGCGGGCCTCCGGGGCCAGTACGAGGTCCGCGCCAAAGCCTTCATCGCCAAGGGCGAGTCGCTGCCCTACCCGGGCGTCCTCGTCGGCGACGACGCGTCCGTGCTCGACGACGCCGCGGCCGCGCCGCGCCCGCTCGACGACGTCCGCTGGGCGACGTTCACCTACGCGTTCCGCCAGTCCGAGGACGACGACGGGTTGAGCCGGCCCCAGGTCGAGATCTGGCCGACGCTGCGCCTCGACAACCCGGCGCCCTTCATCAACGACTTCTGCGGGCCCGACCCAGGGCAGGAAAAGAGTGCGAAATTCCCAACTTCAAAGGCTCCTCTCTCGGCCGTTTTCCACTCGTTTCGGCTGATTTTTGGACGAGCGATCATCTCTCGGAACGGTCTCGAAGCGTGGATGCTTTTTCCGGAACGCGCGCGCGCCGAACACTCAGGTTGAATCGAACTTGAATCACTCTTTTCCTGCCCAGGCCCGACCGCGCGCAGTGGTACGCGCGGAAGAAGCGCCAGAACGTCAAGTACGTCGAGTCCGTCGACGGCGACCCGAAGACGGACTGGGGCGTGCGCATCCTCGCGACGCGCGACGTGAAGCCGGGCGAGCGGCTGCTGGCGGACTACGGCGAGCACTACTGGGCCGCGTGGCGGCCTGTGTGCAAATATTCGACCCGACTTCAACGCGCGCGTAGTCGAATGGTTCGACACACGCTCTTCGGCCGTGCTTCGAGAGCTCGATGAGAGCCATGTGATCCGTCCAAACATCAGCCGAATCGACGTCGATGTGACCGAGCTCGAGGATTTCAAAGTTCGGCCCCGACGGTCGATTCGCGCGCAGGTGGCGCCTCCTCTTCGGCGACGCGATGCGCGCGTTCGTCGACGACGTCGGCGCGCTCTTCATGGACCGCGGCGACGCCGGGGGCGCCTGCGGCGTCGCCGCGCTCCTGCGCTACGCGCGGGAGCGGCGCGTCTTCGCCGCGCCGTCGCGGCCGAACGACTTCCCCGCGGCACGGCCCTTCTGGCGCGCGGCGCCGCCGGACTGGCGGGCCCTCGTGGGCAAGGTCGTCGCGACGCCCGCGCGCCTCGGCTACGACGACGAGCTCGGCAAGGTGGCGTCGTTGGTGGTGGACGGGTCCTACGGCGATCCCGCGCTCGCGGCGCTCCGGAACGCCGCGCCCGGTTCCGGCGCCGTCGAGGCGACGTGGTCCGACGGCCTGAACTACGCCGTCGCGGCCGTGACATACGAGGCCGGCGGCGACGCCGCGTGCACGTTCCTCGACGGGACGACGCACGCCGTGCCCGCGGGGAAGGTTCTCCCGGCGCTGTCGCCGGCGAACTGGCGGTCCCTGGCGCGGTTGCCGCTCGGCGCGTGGTGCCGGCCCCTGGGCTGGGAGCCCGCGTCCCACTGGGGCGTCGTCGAGGCGTGCCGCGAGGCCGCCGACGGCCGCGCGACCTACGCCGTCCGCATGGACGACGTCCGCCGGCCGATCGACGTCGACGACGACGCGCTCGAGCCCGTCGTCCTCGTCCGCGGCGACCCGCGGCGCGGCGAGCACTGGCAGCGCGCCTACGCCGCGTCCGCGCTCTCGCCCCTGCCCCGCGGCGCGGCGTCCTAACCTTAACTCGCTACTCGGTGGACCCGATCCCTCCGATTGTTGACTTCACCTTGACGCCTACCCTGATGCGCCGAGCGCTCCGACGACCCTCCGCTGGCCGCGTCGCGCGGCGCTGGTCGCCACCCATGCCGGAGGCGTCGCCGGCCTGGGAGCCGCTGCGCATCGGCTCGTCTCAGATCGGGGCCTGCGTCGGCGTCCACCCCTACGCCGAGCTCGACGAGCTCTTCGACGGGTTGATCTACCAGGGCGCCGCCGGCCGCGCGCTGCTCGCGCGCGACGCCGCGGCCGTCGGCGCGGTCGTCGAGACCAAGGACGAGGAGGCGACCCGCATCCTCGCCGGCGCGTCCGCGGCGACGCGGCGCGCGTTCCGCGCGGCCGAGCGCGCCGCGACCGTCGACGCGGCGACGACGGGCGCGGTCGCGGCCGCGCGCGCGGCCGCGGGCCGCGCCGTCGCCGCCGCCGTCGCGCAGCACGAGGTGAGCGCCGCGGAGGGCGCCGCGCTCGCGAGCTACGCGCGCCACGGCGCGCACACGGCCTTTGGCCGCCGCCAGGAGGGCGACGCGATCGCCGCGTACGAGCGCGCGACGGGCAACGCGGTCCGCGACGGCAACAACGTGCGCCACGAGCTCCGCTTCGACGCGTCCGGCGCCTGGACGGCCGCGAAGCGCCGCGAGCGGTCGCGGTCGCGCGTCGCCCGGGCCGTGCGGGACTTTTCCGAGTCGGACGACGCGGCGCGCGAGATGCCTCCGTGGCCCGCCGCGGACCGGCGCGCCGCGCACGCGCTCGCGGACGAGTTGGGCCTCGGCCACGCGTCGTCGGGCGCGGGCGCGGACCGGCGCGTCGTGCTCACGAAGCCGCCGACGGGCTGGCACTACCTGGACTCGGAGCGCGAGCCCCGGGGGCCCTTCGGCGACGACGCGATGCGCGCCTGGATGAAAGCGGGCTGGTTCGGCGACGACGTGCTCGTGGCGCGCTCGGGCCGATGCTGCGCGTGCGTCTCCGCGGTCTACCGGCGCCTCGGCGACGTCCGCCGCGGCTGCGGCGACGCGCGGTGCCGGGCCGCGGCGCTGGCCCGTCCGCCGGTCCCCGCGTGCCTCGCGGTCTACGACGGCGCCTCGTCCGACTCGTCCGACGGCGACTCCGACGACGACCTCCCCGCGGGCGCCGCGGGCGAGCTCTTCCGCGTCGTCGGCTACGTCGACGGTTTGTCCGACGAGGTCGACGTCGACGACTGGACCGCGCGGCCCATCGTCGTCGAGATCAAGAACCGCATGGCGTCGACGCGGACGCCGGACCTCTACGACCAGCTCCAGATCGTCGCCTACTGCATCATGACGGGCTGCGCCGCGGGCCACCTCGTCCAGCGCGTCCGGAACGCGGACGACGCGCCCGTCCGCGTGGACCGCGTCGCGCTCGCGGACCACGAGAGGGACTGGCGCGCCGTCGTCGTGCCGCGGCTCGTCGCGCTCGCCGAGGCCGTCCTCGCGCTCCGGCGCGACGCGCCGCGGCGCCGCGCGTGGCTGTTGAGCTCGCCCCGGGACCGGTGGGCGACCGCGGCCGCGCTCTGCGACTGGCTCCCCCTGCCGCCCCCGGAGGCCCCGGGGTAACTTCGGGTTTTTGGTGGAGCGTGTGGGGCCCTCGCGGCGGCGCATACACGTACCAGCGGCGCGACGAGGACGGCGTGTCCAGGGCGAATTCGGAAGCTCGGCCGCGGGAGAGACGTCGATCACACAAAGACTAATTTATACAGATTTTCGATATGGGCGGGTCCGGGGCAACGCGGACCGCGCCGGGGTCCGTTCGGTTCTTCGGTCACAGCTCCTCGAGCTTGAAGATGGTCTGGGACCAGGCGTCCGTCACGGGGGACACCTTGAGGGTCGCCGCCACGGGGGACGTGACGGAGACGGGGCTCGAGACCTTGGGCGGCGGCGCGGGAGCCTCGGGGGTCCGGGGCGGCGGCGCGGGAGCCTCGGGCGCCGGCCGCGGCCCCGCGTACCACGTCGAGTCCATGCCCCCGAGGTCGTTCGCGCCCCAGTCGATGTCCTCGCCGTCGTCCGCCGACGCGAGGACCACGCGCCCCTCGTCCTTGGAGTCGGACCGCGTCCGTCGGAGCTCGAGCGTATCCGAAGAACCGTTCGGCTCGGCGCGCCGGAGGCACCAAGTCCAGATGATTTGGTCCTTCTCTTCACGGCTGAGGAGCTCCATGTTCGGGAGCCGGGGGGTCGTCGCTAATCGGGGTGGGCTCGGCGGCCCGGCGATTTGAACGCGGACGAGGCCACGAAAGCTCTGCGGCGCATCTTCGGGAATGTCCTCGGGGACGAAGCCCGTCTGGCTCGTCCGGTAGAGGTACTCGTCGAGGGCGCCGGCGGGCGTGCCCTGGGCGTGGGTGGCGCCGCATGAGCCCATTTTCTACGTCGCCTTCAGCAGTAGATGTCAGAGAGACGAACGCAGGAGAGCCCATCCCACTTTGTGAAATTGCTGCCTGTTCCAAGAGCCGCCCGGGATAAATCCCGCGGTACCTCATGCCGGATTCTTCGATCGCGGGCCCGGCACCCACCCACCCACCTCCTGGCCAATCAGGGACCTCCGTTTCGTTAGTTGCCTTCAAGTTGCCGCTCGCCGAATCGCCACAACGCGCGCGCGATTCCGCGCGCGCGCTCTCTCGTGTCGCGGAGCTGCGCGGTCCAATCTCCGCTTTGCGATGAGAACGGGCACCCGCGCCGCTCGACTCGCCGCGGCGAGAAGCGGCGCTTGCCCAGAGACGACGATNGCGGCGTGAAGACACGTCGCCGAGGCGCCGCGCGACCGTCAGCCGCGGCACTGCGGGTCATGACCGCGCGCGCGCGCGCGCGTTACAAGTACCCATCAGTACACTGTAGATTTCCAAATCAGGCCTCCGGACCCACCCACCCACCTCGCCATGAGGTTCGAATCTTTTGTCCGTGGGTGGCTCGTGCCTGTTCAACAACATCGGGTCAGTCAAGAAGAGTGAAGACAACAGAATGGCGAGCGGCACAGAGAGGCCCACGGCAGTCCTGCGTCCCAGCCGTCCTGCCTAACATCCTGCCTCAGTCCCTTCCCGTCCTCTCGGCCGAATCCCGCCGGTGTCCCGCAGGTCGCAGGTCGCGAAAATCCGCGCGTCCCGCGGGTCGCGCCGGGTCGCGGAGGTCGCCGCGGTGGGACCCCTCGCACAATCCGATTTACGTGTTAGTTTACCTAAAAGCCGAGGTCGACGTCGCCGAGCGACTCCGGCGAGCCTTCGAGGGCGACGCCCCCCGCGTCCTTGGGGAGGAACGTGCCGTCGGGCGCGTCCGGGAGCGCGACCGCGCCGGGCTCCGGCGCGCGGTCGAGGCGCGCGACGTCGAGCTGCCACTCCCACGCGACGCGCGCCTTCTCGCGGCTGAGCTCGTCGACGCGCCGCTCCAGCGCCGGGTTCCCCGCGCGCGCTGGGCCTTGACCCAGGTCGGCTTGAGGACCGCGAAGATGAACGCGTTGCCCGCCGCGGCGGACGCGGCCCAGGCGAGGAGCGGCGCGAGGTAGTGGTCCAGGGCGTTCGCGCCCGCGGCCCGCCCGACGGCGACGCTGAGGCCCGCGTTCGTGCACACGTACAACACCTGGAAGCCGACGTTCCGCGAGAAGATGAGCGACAGGCACACGCCGTGGCAGAGGACGACGACGTAGTTGAGCGGGTGGTGCAGGTACGACGCGACGCGCGCGACCTCGGCCTCGCGCTCGGCGTCGTCGAGCGTCGCGTTGCGGATCAAGCGGAGGCTGTGGTTCGTGAGCAGGTAGGCGTAGAGCGCGTAGTGCGCGCGCGCGAGGCAGTACGCGCGCGTAACCGGCGACGCGGTCGCGGCGGCCGTCGACGCGGCGACGAAAAAGGCGGTCCAGGCCGCGCCCGAGACGTGGGAGCCGACGCCCGACGTGACGTAAAGAGAGCTCTCGAAGAGCCGCAGGGCGACGAGGAGCAGCCAGTAGAAGAGCGCGACGCGCCTCCGGAGCAGGCGCTCGAACCGCCGCTCGTCGTCCGCCGCGAGCCGGAACTCGCAGCACCGCTCGAGATCGTCCCCGCGGTGCGACGCGTCCGCGATTGCCGCGGACTCGTCGTCCTCGGACGGCGCGTCGCCGCTCGAGGCTTTGAGCTTCGCGCCGAAGACGCGCCGCACCTGGGCCTGGAGCTTCTGGGCGAGCATGGCGATCGCTCCGACGGTCGTCGGCGCGGAGGAAACGAGACCTCTCAAGGGTTCGGACCGCGACGCCCGTCGCCGCGGGTGGCGTGTCACGCGATTCTTCTCCGTGGAGTTGCGCTTGATCAGCACGAGGGATTTTCACTTGCACAATATTGCATCGATCGAACTCGATCGAACTCGTTCACACCGTCTGCACTCGTTCACAGGCAGCCCGCCGGCTCGATTGGGCGCGTGAGTCACCTCATGCGCGCGCGAGAAAGAGAGCACATGCGAAGCCCGAGTAGGCCTCCAGGTGGGATCGTCGGGTGCGCTAACGGCGGGGTGGGTCGCCCGATGCGCGAGAGAGAGAGACTAGCATGTGATTTACGCGCAGGGAGCACTTCGGTTAGGGTTAGACACCGAAAACCGTAAAAAACCGGCTTAAACGGTTACGGTAAGCCCCCCCGTCGACGCGGTGACGGTTCCGGTACGGTTACGGTTTTTGCACGGTTATTGGGGCTCTAGGACGGTTCCGGTTACGGTGAGGCCCCAGGGCAGCCCGGTGGAGGCCGGTGGAGGCCGGTGGGGCTCAAAATAGGCATATTTGTGGGATTTTCGTGATGGGACTGGGCTGAATAGCGTCCCCGCAACAAGAATCGGCGCTCTGAAGTCGCACAACGCCGTTGGGTAGGCGTGGAGGGCCTGAAAGCACCGTACCGCGCGACGGTTGCGAGCCGCTCCGGGACGGTTCCGGTTTCGGTAAGGCGCTGAAAGTCCCGGTTACGGTTGCGGTTCCGGTTCCGGTTTTCCACGGTTACGCCCCCAAATCCCCGGTGACGGTGACGGTGGTCTCGCGGCGGCCTCGACCGAACCGGAACCGAATTAACCGAAGTGCTCCCTGTTTACGCGGCCCCATCTAGAAGCCGAGGTCGACGCCCGGGAGCGGCGCTGGCGGGTCCGCGAGTAAGCGGGCCCGGGCATGCCCGTCCAGCACAGGCTCAACAACAACAACATATGATTTTAACGGCGAGGTCGAGGTCGACCTCGGGGTGTCGAGGCGGCGAGGTCACGGCGAGAAGTCGAGGTCGAGGCGGCGAGGTCACGGCGAGAAGTCGAGGTCGAGATCCCCGAGGGACGCGTTCGGCGAGCCCGCGAGGACGACGTCCCCCGGTCGTTTGGACCGGTCGCCGTCGTCGGGCGGGCTCGAGATGTCCTCGTCGTCGTCCGGCGACCGCGGCGCGAGGCGCGAGACGTCGAGCTGCCACTCCCAGACGATGCGCTCCTTCTCGCGGCCGAGCTGCTCGACGCGCTTCTTCAGCGCCTCGTTCGCGCCGCGCTGCGCCCGGAGCCAGAGGGGCTTCAGCACGCCGTAGACGACGCCGTTCGCCGCCGCGATGGCGACGACCCACGCGAACGCCGACGGCGCGACCTCGTCGAAATCCGCGCCCGCGGCGCGCGTCACCGCGAGGCTCATCGACAGGTGGAGCATGACGTAGAGGGCCTGGAAGGCGAGGCGCCCGTTGCACACAAAGGCCACGCAAAAACCCTGGAGCACGATGAGCACGTAGTAGATCGGGCTCCGGCGGATCGACGCGTACACGACGCGAATTTCCACCTCTCGCGCGGCGTCGCTGAGCTCGTAGACGCGGAGGAAGCGCACAACGTGGGTCACGAGCGTGTAGGCGAGGGAGATGTGGTGCGCGCGCTCGAGGCACGCGGCCTGGAACTGCGGCGGCGCCGTCGCCGTCACGGACGAGAAGACGACGAACGCCGCGGTCCAGATCTGCGACGCCGCGGAATTGCCCAGGCCCGAGTTCACGATGTTGATGCTCTCGGCGAGGCGCGCGACGACGCAGAGCAGCCACCAGAAGGCGACGACGCGCCGCCGGAGCAGCCGCTCGAAGCGGCGCTCGTCGCCCGCGTCGGGCAACGTGAACGCGCAGCACGCGACGTCGTCGTCGTCGCGGCTCCGCGACACGGCGACGCGGTTCGACTCGCCGAAGGTCACGACGTGGTCCTCGGGCACGGGCTCGGGCACGCCGCTCGAGAGCGAGGCGTTCGAGCCCTTGTAGCGCGGCAGGCGGGGCCGGAGGGGGCGCGCCGGGCGAGCGTCGGCCATCTCCCTCATGTCAAGTACTCAGGCACACGCGGTGCCCGTGTCGTCGCGACGACGCGACGGGCGGCAACAAGGCGTTGACGCTTTTGATGGCTCCCGTTTCGCCTCGATATGGACATCACGGGCTCAAGCTGGCTTCAACAGGGCTCCGGTCCGCGCCTTCTCAGGTCTCCTCGAGCGCCTTCCCCGCAGGCCTATGCTGCAAGCTTACAGAACTTTCACGCGAGATCCTTCCAGGGGCAGACGCGCGTCCCGCCCTCGTCGCGGTAGAAGTACGCGGTCCAGGCGAACTCCTGGGGGTGCTTCTTCGTGCTGCCATCCCCGGCCTGGAAGTCGTGCAGCTCCGCGCGCGGCGTGCCCAGGAAATCAAAAATGCGCCGGAGCTCGCCGTCCGCGTCGGCGACGAGCTCCTCGTAGACGACGTCGAGGCTCGGGAATCGGCGCTGCCGCAACCGGCCCTGCCAGGTCTTCTTGAGGTGGGCAATCCTCCGCGCCTTCGCCGCGACCTTCCTTATATGATGCTCGCTGAGGCAGTCCGCGTCGCCGTGGTTCAGGAACTCGCTCACGGCCGTGCGCCTCGCGTCCTTGCGCTCGAGGTGGACGACGCGGAGCTCGAGCTTGTTCGCGATCTCCGCGAAGTGGTCCCAGTCGCACATCTGGTTGTAGTGGACGACGAGCCCCCGCGCGGCCATGGCGTCGGCGCTCCGCCGCTTCAGCGGCTCGTCGAGGTCGCGGTAGAGCGCGCCGCGCGCGAATTTGTCCATCCCGAAGAACACGCGGAGGCCCTTTTCGAACTTCGCGGGGTCCTTGGGCACCTCGTGCTCGTAGAAGGCCTCCTCGAAGGCGAAGACCTGCGGGTGCCGCCGCAGCTCCGCCATCATGAAGTGCGTGCCCGAGCGCTGCGTCGAGAGCACCTGCGGGCGTCGCGGGGTCCCCAAACGAGGCGACGTCGCCCGTCGGAAGGCGGCGCCAACGCGGGCTCTATCGGCACGTGCGAGCGGACACGGAAATGGCACGATGAATCGCGTCTGGTTGTCGACGGTCCAGGGCCCGAGCGACGGCTTGTCGCGGACCTTCGCGGGCTTCCACGGGCAGACGCGCGTCCCGCCCTCGTACCGGTAGAAGTAGTCGGTCCAGGCGAACTCCTGGGGGTGCATCTTCGTGCTGCCATCCCCGGCGTGGAAGTCGTGCAGCTCCGCGGGCGGCGTGCCCAGGAAATCAAAAATGCGCCGGAGCCCGCCGTCCGCGTCGGCGACGAGGTCCTCGTAGACGACGTCGAGGCTCGGGAATCGGCGCTGCCGCAGGCGGTCGCGCCAGGTCTTCTTGAGGTCGGAAATGCGCTGCGCGTGCGCCGTGACCTTCGATTTATCATACTCGTCGAGGCAGTCCGCGGTGCCTTTGTTCAGGAACTCGCTCACGGCCGTGCGTTTCGTGTCCGTTCGCCGGAGGTGGACGACGCGGAGTTTGAGCGTTTCCGCGATCCGCGCGAAGTTGTCCCAGTCCACGGCCTGGTTGTAATGGACGACGAGCCCCCGCGCGGCCATCGCGTCGGCGCTCCGCTGCTTCAGCGGCGTGTCGAGGCCGCGGTAGAGCCGTGACCCGGTATCACGCGAGCCGAGATCGGATTCTTTGGAAGACGACCATGCGCTTCACCCGAGCCAGCTCGAGCTGTGTGATCTTGCGGGTGCGAAGACTGTGCAGATAGTGCCTGAGCCTCGAGGCCCTCCCGCGAGCGCCTCGGCGACGTCGTCAAGACCGAGCGGTCCGAGGTCGAGCGGAAGAACGTGCTCACTCCCCAAACGACCCCCACAAGATCCTTAAAAATTCACGGCGTGCCGTCGAGGTCCAGGCCCCGGGCGGAGCCGAGGGACGACGGCGACCCCGCGAGCGGCACGGCGCCGAGGGCCTTGGGCGCGTTGGACCCCTTCGGCGCATTGCCCCCCTGCATCTCCTCGACGAGGCTCGAGGAGATGGAGGCCGACGAGGACGGCGCCGTCGCGGCCCGCCGGAGCTCCATCGTGTCGAAGCGCCACTGCCAGACGACGAAGTCCTTCGCGGCGTCGAGCTCGTCGGCGCGCCGCTCGAGGCGCGCGTCCTCCATGGCCCGCGCGCGCAGCCAGAGCGGCGTGGCCACCATGTAGATGACGGCGTTCGAGAGGACGATGGACAGCATGTAGAAGGCCATGGGCAGCGCGATGCGCGTCGGATCGGCGCCCGCCGCGGCGACGACGACGACGGACAGGGCGAGGTTGACCGCGACGAGCAGGACCTGGAACCGGAGGCGGTCCGACGAAATGAGCGGCAACCCGAAGCCCAGGAAGAAGAGGTACAGGTAGTAGGCGGGCGACGACAACGTGCCGTAGACGCGGCCGATCTGATCCTCGAGCTCCGCGGGCGCGAGCGCGAAGACGCGCTGGAGCCGGATGGCGTGGTTCGCCACCACGTAGAGGAGCGACGCCTGCGGCGCGTGCTCGACGAAGCGGTGGCGCACGTCCGGCGGCGCCGCGGACGCGGCCGTCGACGCGGACACGAAAAAAGCCGTCCAGATCGCGCCCGCGTCCGCGCCCGCCCGTCTGCAGGTACTGGCCGCTCGTCTCGGCGACGCGCACGAAGACGAGGAGGAACCAGTAGGGGAGGATGCAGCGCCGCCGCAGCAGCCGCGCGAACGATCGGTCGTCGCGCTCCGTCGCGAGTTTGGGAACGCAGCACGCGACGTCGTCGCCCGCCGGCCGCGGCACGGCGACGCGCGTGTAGCCCTCGTAGAGGGTCGGCTGCTCCTCGTCGACGACGTCGGGCACGCCGGAGGACGACGCCTTGTAGCGCTGCTTGTCCCGGCGCGCCTTGGGATGGACGTCGGCGAACATGGCCCCGCCGAGAGGACGGTCGCACGCTCGCCGAGCCTCGGGGGGTTCCTTGAGCCCGGCGACGGCGACGGGTTTACGCTTCGCCGCGTCTCTAAACGTAGGGGACCCGGGAGTAACCGCGGGGGACGGGAGGCTTCGCCCCGGCGCACGACGAGTTTCACTTGGAGATCACGGTCAAGAGGGGAGGCGATTCACGCAAATCTTGCCGCTGACCTTCGGCGATGTCCGCTGGCTTACGTGGGTATGGGGCACTAGGCCGATCCTCCCGATCGTGCTCTCGCTCCTCGCTCACTACCCTAGCCCTTCCCTTTGATCCTCCCTCCCTTCGATTCGTCCCTGCGCCGCGGCTAACTGACATTCGGCGACCCACGGGCATCGTGTCTAGATACACCCACCTCCACCCCCGACGCACAAAACACGGCGCGTTAGAGGGACAGGACGTTGGCGAGCTTGTCCTTGGGCTTGTTCTCCTCCTCCCACTCCTCGCCGCCCGCGTCCATGCCGCAGCCCGCCTGGCCGCAGGTCACGAAGACGACGATGGCCGACGCGAAGCCCGCGAGGGTCCCCCGCTGCTCCTTCATGCGCTTCGCCTTCTCGAGCTCCGCGTCGTCCTTCGCGAGGATGTCCTCGAGGATCTCGTCGTTGAGCGCCGGGTCGAGGTAGTTCGTCAGCGCCTCGTGGATCGCCGTCTCGCCGAGGCGCCGCGCGAGGACCCAGGGCGAGTGGCGGTCGCTGATGGGGTCGTGGCTGTGGGCCGCGCCGTGCTCGATCAGCACCTCGACCGCGTTCGCGTCGCCGAGATCGACCGCGTGCCAGAGCAGGGACCGCTTGCCCCGGTCGCGGAGCCCGACGAGCGCGCCGCCGCCCGCGCGCGACACGAAGCCCTTGATCGCGGCCTCGAAGTCGTAGAGCTCCTCGCCTGCGTCGAGATGGAGCTCCCGGCGTACCCTCGGAAGCTCTCGAGCTCGGTCGAAGCGACGTCGGTTTCACGGGCTCCTTTCCGGACGAGCGCGTGGCGAGTGCTCTCGACGGAGCGCACACGCACGTGCGGCGACGTCCGTCCATCGAAGTCGCGTCGATAGATGCGGGTTCCGCGCGGCGCCGCGCGGCCCTCGACGGGCAGCCGCTTCGCGAGGCTCCGCTCCTCGACCTCCGCGCGTTCCCACTGCCTCGGCCCTCCAGTCGCGCCGCTCCTGCGTGTTGAACTTGAGCCGCGACGGCATGGCGAAGCTGTCCGACGCCGCCCGCGGCTTCTTGGGCGCGTGGGGCTTCGCGGCGTGCTTCTTGTGCGGCGCGGCGTGGGGCTTCTTGTGCGCCGCCTCGGTATCGTTCCACGCCGCGAGCAGCACGCTCGGCGTCGACGGCTGCGGCTCGCCGAGCTCCCGCGCCTTCGCTGGCTCCTCGGAACCGCCCACGAGCCCCGACAGATAGTCCATAGCTCACTTCAAGGTGGGTAGCTCGCACTGCACTTTGGGTTCTGTGAAAAGCGCGTAATGGAGGCTGCCCAGTCCATCGAAACGCCCTGACATCCATGGCCCTGGATCCGCAGTCGACGCTCATCCAGCTCGAGAGCCTGAAGCTCGAGAAGACGCCGCCGGCGATCAAGCCGCGGCGGTCGCGATCCGCGTGGTGCGTCCTCCTCGTCGCCGTGTCGTGCCTCGCCGTCGGCTTCGTCGGCGGCGCGCTCTTCGCGCGGCTCACGCGCGACGGCGGCGACGACGACGACGACGTCGCGGCGGACGCGAGCGCCGCGGACGCCGCCGCGGACGCCGCGGTGGACGCGGACGGCGCGGTGGACGCGGACGCGCCGACGCCGCGGCCGACCGCCGCGGCGCCCGCGCCGGCCGCGGCGCCCGCGCCGCGGCCGACCGTCGCGCCGCCGGCGCCGACGGCCGCCGCGTCGACGTTCTGCTGCTACTACACGCCGTCGGACTGCGGCGCCTGCGAGGACGCGGCGGCGGCCGACGACTGGTGCTCGGCCGCGCGCGACCGCTGCGAGGGCTCGTGCGGCGCGACGTGGTGCGCCAGCGGCGCGCCGGCGCCGTCGCCGCGGCCCACGGCCGCCGACGGCGCGCCGACGGCGGGCCCGACGGCGACGCCGCGGCCGTCGGCCGCGGCGCCGACGGCCGAGCGGAGCCTCTTCGCGACGGCGCCCGGCTACTACGTGAACCCGACGCTCGCCGCGAACCTCGACGCGTCCATCGCGACGACGGACGACGCGGCCGTCGCCGCGACGCTCGAGGCCATGAAGGGCGTCGCGTCGGCGTACTGGATCGACGTCAAGGGGAAGCTGGACCCCAACGGGACGTCGACGGCGGACGCGCGCGGTATACTTTTAGACGCCGCGGCGCACGCGGAGCCGCCGCTCGTCGTCTTCATCGTCTACGACCTGCCGAACCGGGACTGCCACGCCTACGCGTCCAACGGCGAGATCTGCTGCGCGTACAACGACGACGGCACCTGCGACTACGACAACTCGGGCGACTGCGCCGCGGGCCTCGACCAGGGCGGGAAACAAACATATTCGACACGACTTCAATGTTCGTGTATGTGCACGGTTTCGACATACGTTCTTCGCTGTCTGAAAAGAATTCGCCGAGAGGAAACGATGCGTCCAAAAATCAGCCAAAACGACTGTGATTTGACCGAGCTAGAGAAGTTTTGCTGGACAGGGCGTTCCACTGGGTATTTCGCACACAGGCCTCGACGAGTACAAGACGACCTACGTCGACCCCTTCGCGGCAATCCTCGCGGAGTTCGAGGGCGTCGTGCCCGTGGCGCTCATCCTCGAGCCGGACTCGCTGCCCAACTTCGCAACGAACCTCGACGACCCGCGCTGCGGGAACATAGGGACCAAAAACGCGTACGAGCTCGGCATCGCCTACGCCGTCGAGGCCCTCAAGGCCGCGGCGCCGTCGGCGCACATCTACCTGGACGCGGGCCACGGCGGCTGGCTCGGCTGGGAGGACAATTTGGAGTCCTTCGCGTCGACCGTCGCGTCGCTCGGCGTCGAGGACCACCTCCGGGGCTTCGCGACGAACACGGCCAACTACCAGCCCCTCGGCGAGCCCTGCGCCGACGGCGTCGACTGCATCACGGGGCCCGGCGCGTCGTCCGCCTGCTGCGACGACCCCTGCGGCCTCCTGTCCCAGTACAACCGCGGCCAGAACCAGGGCAGCACAAGAGAGCGAAATTCCCAACTTCAAAGGCTCCGATCTCGGCCGTTTTCCACTCGTTTCGGCTGATCTTTGGACGAGCGATCATCTCTCGGAACGGCCTCGAAGCGTGGATGTTTTTTACGGAACGCGCGCGCGCGGAACACTCACGTTGAAGCGACGTTGAATCTCTCTTGTCCTGCCCAGGCCAGAACGAGCACGAGTACGCGCGGCTTCTGGTCGACGCCATGGCCGCGGCCATGCCGGGCTTCGCCCCCAGAGTCGTCATCGACTCGGGCCGCAACGGGAACCCCGGCGCGCGGACCGACTGCGCGTCCTGGTGCAACCCGCGCGACGCGGGCGCGGGCGCCGTGCCGACGGCGGTCACGCGCGACCCGGACGTCGTCGACGCGTACTTCTGGCTCAAGACGCCGGGCGAGTCCGACGGCTGCACGGCGCTCCTGCCGTCGGCCGACGACGAGTGGGTCTCCGACGGCGCCTGCCCCCGCTTCGACCAGGGCTGCGCGTCCGTCGACTCCATCGGCACGGCGGCCGGGGAGCCCTACGCGCCCGAGGCGGGCCACTGGTACGACTACCAGATCAAGATGCTCGCGGAATTCGCGGACATGTAGCAACTCACAGACCGGCAGCCCCCAAACTCGAAGACGGGACCCACCCCCCAAATTAAAACGGCGCGAAGCCTACCTGCTAGGGGCGCCAGCCGCGAGACCGTTGAAGGTCAACGCGTCGACATTGAGGAAGCCAGGAACCCGGCCCGGCAGTGACACACGGTTGCTGCCTCCGCCAGTTGCGCGCGGGCAGCCTCTGAGGACATGCCGCGCGTCCACACGGAGGAGTCGCGCACGGGACCGGACTGGCCGCGGTCCCGGTCGCTGGCGACGCCGCGGCGCGAGGGCGACGGCGGGCGGAGCTCCGCCGACGAGCGCGAGAGCGTCGAGAGCCGCGCGTCGACGAAGCGCACGCGGAGCAAATCCAAGAAGAAGAAGCGGCCGCCGTCGGAGGCGCCGCCGGCCCTCGTCGTCGGCGACCACGTCCAGCTCCAGGGCCTGCCGTCGAAGCACCTCAACGGGCGGGCGGGCGTCATCGCGCGCGTCTTCAACGACGGCAAGCGCGGCGTGAGGGTGCCCGGCCGCAAGGGCCTCGTGTCGGCCTTCCGGCGCCAGATGGTCCTCGTCGCGCCGCCCGACGCGGCCGTCGAGGAGACCAAGGGCGGGGACGACGCACCCGCAGTCGACCCGAGCGCGCTCTGGCCGCCGCCGCCGCCGGAGGCGCCGGCCGCCGCGCCGGCCGCGGCGCGGCCGCGGCCCGCGCCGCCCTCGGAGCCGCCGCCGCCGGAGCCGGAGCCGTCGGAGCCGCCCCCGGCCGCCGCGACGCCGTCGGCGACGCCGTCGGCGCCGTCGTCGGTGCTGCCGTCGGCGCTGCCGCCCGTCGCGACGCCGCGCGCCGCCGCGCCGCCGCCGCCGCCGCCGGGGTCGCCGTCGTCGTCCGCGGCCGCG